CCATTGTTTTCCAGAGGCTTCCGCTTCGAGACCCGCCGTAAATCGACATGAATCAACAGGAAGAACACAGTCAAAACGAGTGATACAGTAGTTTACTGTTGCTGTAAATCTGGAAAACAATCGCAACTTTGGACAGCGTTTTTTCCAGGAAATTACTCCTGGGAATCAACTTTGAACGCGGCAAAAGGGAAACCCGGTGGCAGTGGCCGAGAGTTCCACAACGACAACAACAGTAACCTTGAAATATTTTTATTTTCCGGATTTTTATCTATTTAGATTTTCGTGTGTTTTTAGTGAATTTTTTCAATATCAAATGTTTTTATTTTCCGTCTTTTTCGGGGAAAATAACCGAAAAATTGACGAAAATCAGTGAAAAACGCGAAAATAAGTTTGGAAAAAGTTAGGTTACGGTAGTTGTCGCTATGGAATCTTCCGCTGCGGCCATCGGCGTTCCTCTTCCACAGCTCCGATTTTTTTGTATCCGAACAATAATAAACAATCAACAAAATTGGGAAACTCACTTTAAAATAGTTAGGCTCTAAAACCTCCTCTCCTCCCGGCTCCTTATTTCGTTTTTCCATGAATTCATTATGAACCACAAAGTAGATCGAATCCTCATCGCAAGGCCATAAAGAAGGACAGAACCTCCATTCGCTGGCTTGTAAAGTCTGAAAGAATCTTTTTATAAAAGCCATTATTTTATGCCACTTTTCAAAGTACAAACCTCAAACTTTTCTGTGAAAACTTGTATGAGTTCAGTTTGTAAAACAAGCGTTGAATCTAATTTTGGCTCACTAGTCGGTCGGTACAATCTTGATGTTGAGCTGGGTCGTTGAGCAGATAAATATCGAGAAGATCTAAAAACTGATAGCTTAAATTGAAAATTTTGGAAATTTAGGTTACAAACCTAACAATAGTTTTCCATATGAGCATTTCATAGTTTCTAGTTACCCGTTGTTGAGCTAATAAGGCACGAAGGAAGTTGGCAATATGGCGTTTTCTAGCTGCCTGAAAAATCAGATTTTGGTTTGAAATCTGAGTTTCTATCAATAAAAACTTACCTCGATTGCTGTTGAAACTAAAGACCAAACAAAAAGTATCATTTTTTGTTCGAAAAATGGAATCTTCAGTCAATTGGAAATCTGCAATCAAAGTGTCAAACCGAATCAAAATGTTTGAAAAAGGCGACAATTGCCAGAAGACCGGGAGCCAGACGACGTCGTGGAAACTAGAGAAGAGGAGACACAGCGAGGCGAGAAAACGAGAAGGATTGGGAAAAAAAGAAAAAGAGAATAGAGCACAGCTTCTTCTCTTCTTTTTCTTTTTCGCCGACCCAGCTTTTAAGCTATGCGAGGAGGCAAAAAGGAGTGGGGGGGGGGGTGAACTCTTTCTGATGGTTTTTTATTGAACGAGAACAAATTGAATGAGGATAAAAAAGAGAGAATACAACAAAAAAGGATAACAAAGAAAAATGAGGTGGGAAACGAAAAAAAAATGAATCAAAATAACAATAACAACGAAGGGGGAGGATAGGGTACAACTAACGAAGAAAATTAAACAAAAAGATATAGATTTGAAGGCGTTGGAGTTGTGGGGCAGAGGGTGGCCATTTTGGAGTCGGTGCCTTGTGAAAAGAAGAAGTAGAAAGGAGGATTATGCTGGAAAAGGAACCAATTTTTGTTTGTTTTAGGAAAGGGGATGCAGAGAGACAAGCTTTTTAAATTAGTCGACACGCATCGACTTTCGCAGGTGTCTCGCGGGTTCGAATAACGACTGGACACATTTCACAAAGTGGTTGTCGCATAAAAGTCACTATTTCTGTTGAATTATTGGTCTTAACATAACTTACCAAGTGTCTTTAACACTGCCTTTCTTCCCTTTCTCTTCTTTTTCGGATTATCAGTTCCCAGTTCAATTTGGGCGAACATTTTCACTTGTTCACGATCCTCCATTTCCGTAGCCAAAAGTCGAAGAGCAGCGAGATTAGTTCCTGTGATCTCTCTCAACTTCTCCACTCCCTCGGACATTTTTGAATTCATTTGCTCAAAAATTGGAACATATTCGGAAGAAGCGATGATGTGACTGAGATGAACTCTAGAATTTTGAAATTATAACGACGTTATTGTATTTGAATTGATTCGACAAACCTGGTCAAATAAACTGAAACATGGGTGCACAGCTCAGCTTTATATTGTTGTTGAGTGCACGAAGCGATAGCAAGCAGAATATCTGCCACGTAGGATAAAGGAATCAGAAGAAGGGTTCTGTCGAGATCACTGGCTCTGCATTTTGCGATAACATCGACAATGAAATGGTCAAGAGATTTACTATTGTAGGCACCAATAAGAGGATGTGGTTCGTGGTTTGGATCCTCTGCTCGCTGCGCCTTTTCATTTCTCGCAATATCAACTGCCTGGATGATATTTTCAGCAGAAACAACACTGGAACTCGTTTTGCTGCTGGCAACGCCCGCTTCATTGTCAGCATTCTCTCCAGCCACAACGTCATCCTCGTCGATCAGTTTCTTCTCGTACTCTTCTTCTCTTTCCATCTCTTCTCGCTCTTCCACGATTACCATTTCGTCGGTTTTCTCCCAGCAACGAATCGATTTGTCGTGGGATGCAGAGAACTGAAAAACACAGATAAGAAAATTAAATATTGCTTAACGAACCATAACAGATCCGTTGGAGAACTGAGCTAAGCATCGAATATCGGAAGTGTGCCTGTCAAGAGATTGAACAAGAATGAACTTCACGGCATCCCACTGCTTGATTTTCCCATCTTTTCCAGCACTCCAGAACAATTGCTCTTCGCCCGGACAGAATAATACCGATGTGACAGCGTCGTCGTGAGCATGGAATGATTTGTGACAATCTCCAAAGTCCAATCCCCACACTTTTACAGACTTGTCCACAGAACCAGTAACACACAACTTGCTACTTGGAGCCACATCGACACAGGTGACAGGGAGAGAGTGGCCGTAAAGGGAGACGAAGAATTTGAGAGTGTCTACGAAATACACAGAGCATGTATTATTGAGAAGAGCAACAACAAGGAACTTTCCATCTGGTGAGAACGATGCAGCGAGTGCCTCATCCGGAAGTTCCAGAACCTTCTGTTCTCTGATTGATATTCTTTTTCGAGAACCTTCAGTAACCAACACGAACGACCAGAAGCGTACTGTCTTGTCAGCTGATGCTGTCATGAATCCTTCATTGTCTGGTGTATTCTGAATGGTCCAAATGGCTCCGGTGTGTGCTTTTCTCGTCTCGACCAATTCTGCGCTGCTGAGTTCAAAGACGCCGATTTCACCATTCTGAGAAAAAAGATTTTGCTATATTAAGGTACGGTAATGTGAATTTCAAACCTTTCCTCCCGTAAGAATGTAGTTGTCTCCTGGAACAAAGTTAACGGCCACTACATCCTTGACATCGTTATCGGTCAAAGTCAACGATGATCGAAGTGAGTGAGTACTCCACACGATAACTTCGTTTCCGCCTCCCGATGCTAGAAGACTTGACGATGATGACACGCACAAAGAGCGAACGTCTTCACGATGACCAAGTTTGTCCAAATTTCCAACACTGTCGCATTCAACAGCGTTGGAATTCATCTCGATAGTCATCTTCACCCAGTGAACAGTATTATCGGTCAACAAAGCGTACCACTTGTAGATCAGATTTGTTCTTCCGTCTTCACAGATTTAACAACGTCAATCCATTTGATTTTGTGTGGAAGCATCATTTCACCGATTCTAGTCACAAGAATGGTGACGTCCTTTGTAACATCATCCTCACTTACAGCCGAACTTTCCGAACTGAAAAAGGGACTCGATGGGGCAAAGCTATAATTGAAAAAAAAAAAAAACTTACGTTGCCTTTCGTTTAGCACTTTTCAACTTTTTCGTCAAACGTTTCACTGATTCAGCTTCCGAAAACACTCTATAGACATCGGCCACTTTGTCAGCACCAACACAAACCAAGAAACGACCATCATGAGTTGGCACAAGCTGAAGAGCTCTTCCTTTACTCTGACGAATAACTCTTCCGCGTAGTTTTGTAGTGATGTATCTCTGAAAACACAATGGATGATCGCATATCAATGACAAAGCTTCAGTACGTTGGCCATGTTTGCAAGTGCATCTTCTGCATCATCTATCGTTCCTTTTTTAGCAGACGGTTCCTCGTTCTTCACTTCCTGCTCAAAAATTGCTCCATTTTTCCAGTTCAGTTCAAAAACGAGCAGTTCGAGTTCCGAAGTAGCAGCAACAAGAATCGATTCGTCTCGATGCAGGCTCATCGAATAGATCTCGTTTCTGCTGTCCATCACAGTGTAGAAGCACGATTGACTAGCAATGCTCCAGAACTTGATGAGACTGTCTTTCGATCTGAAATAATCGAAAATTGTTTCTTCTAATAAAGCTAAACGTACGTCGAAATGATGAAACGATCGCCTCGAACAAACTTCATCTGGGTGACTGACTCTTTGTGACCGTGCAATCGAAACATTCCTCGCTCGGCGAGAATATCCCACAGAACGATTACACCGTCTTTTCCACCAGTTGCGAATAGCAAGCCATCACTACTGAACTCGATGCAATTCACTGCTTTTTTGTGACCAGAGAACATGATTGGGTCAGCATCTAGAAATTTCAAGATGTTTTGAAATAAATCTAACACGCCAACCTTCGTTTTCTCGATCGAATAGTTTTACAGATCCATCAGCGTATCCAATAGCGAGAATCGGCTTATTTTCGCATTGTCTGACACATGTGATTGGTTTTGTGGATTCGATGATTTCATTAACCTGAAATATAAGGATTTTTCATTCTATTAAGGTCATAAAATACACACCTTTTCTGTCGTTCTCATATTATAGAAATTGAGATATTCGTTAGCTGAAACGGCGACAGTTTGCCCATCAATAGCAACAAGTTGTCCGTTTGTTGAACCAACACATCCACAAGAGCCAGCATGCTCATACTTCAAATAATCCTTGGTCAATCCCATTCTGAGAAACGATAAGTTATTCAAATATCCCGAAAAATGCGAAAAAAATATGGCTCGAACGAAGAAAAAATATATTATAAGACATGTATTATTTTTTTGATTGATAATCTAATGTATATTGTTCCAATTAAACATAAAAATATGAAGATTTGACCGGAAAAATGTGAAAAAAATACTCGAAAAAATGGGAGGGACTAGTTTAGCGATGGGAGAGAAAGTTAGGCCGCGCCGACAATCTTTCGGCAGGCGTTTAAACAAAGAAATCTAACAGTGATCTTGAAACTTTACAAGGTATTAAAAGGTTGGAGATTATGGGTATTCAGCTACAGAAGTTTGAGTTTCGAAAGGAGTAATATTTTAGAAAAAGGAAAAAAAATAGTGTTTGGATGCATGAGAAACCTCTGAAAAATATGTATAGAACTCTGGGAATCCCGGGTAATTCACATAGCACTTTCATTCTGTTTCTTTTCCCTTTTTTTCAACATTCTTATTCATAATTTCATTCTGACACACTCACGAATAGAGCTTCAATATAATTGATTTGGTTGCCATGAAAACACACCTCTCGCTAGACTTCTGACAGAATTGTGTTATTTGTGAAAGTGAGCAAATATGTTGGTGAATTCAAAAGAACACTTCCCCAATCACTGTTAAACCGTCTCACAAATACTTGTTCAACAAAAACCTGTGGTGTGTGAACTACTTTCTCTGATTCTCTTTTTACAAGAAGTTATTCGCTGAAACGACTGTGAATTTCTATTCAACATGATTCGTATTTGTATATGTTTTTGTATCATTGTTTCATCTATTCTTACTATATCCCCTCCAGCAGTCAAACTTATAATCGGTAAGATCCTAGATGATAAGAAAATCTAAAATCAGTGCTGTTTAGACACGGATGGCGTCTATGATGACATTCGTGCTTTATCAATTGCTCTGACAAATCCAAAAGTTGAGGTAATTGCTATCACCACTGTTCATGGAGGAATTTCCGCAAACCAATCAGCTGCAAATATAGCTCGTCTACTGAGAGCACTCGGAAAAGAAGACGTTCCAATTTTCATAGGATCCCAAGATTCTCTTGTTCCTAAAGGTCTTATCGAAGTATGGGAAGATTTGTTCGGCAGTGATGGAATTGGAGGGGTTCCTGCTGCAAATCCCAAAGCACTTCCTTCTGACTTCACTGTGGCGAATAAGAAAAAATCAGCAATTGATGCTATTATTGAACTTACCAATCTTACTAGTGAAATTGTTCTGGTTGGATTAGGTCCTTTGACCAATATTGCATTGGCTCTTCGAAAAGATCCAGAAGTTTCAAAACGGATAAAGAAAGTTGTGCTGATGGGTGGAAATTATTTAGGAGTGGGGAACACTTTGATCAATTCAACAGCCGAATTCAATTTTCTAATGGATCCCGAAGCAGCTCACATTGTTCTTTCTTCGATTCATACAACAATTGTTCCTTGGGATACATGCTTTCTCAAAGGTCCAGAGGTAAAAATATATTACCGGACTTCCTCTCCTTAATCCTACCCAAACCGTCAACTTTGAGCTCAATTATCTCGATTTCTGTCAAAGATATGAAAATTTTGTCAACTTATAAATTATTCATCATAATATCACCAATTTTTCATCAGTTGACGAAATGTTGATATCTTTCCCAGGAATCGAGATAATTGAGCTCTTTGGGTGAACTTAGATTAGAGGAAATACGGTAGAAGACTTTCTCGCAAATGTTTTTTTTTTCTCAGTATAACGAAGAAGTTGATTATGAAGAATCGTTGAATCAGAAAACTTTACTGTCCAATTTCTTAAACAACATCACCATCAGAGGAAGAGAATATAATAAGCTTATTGGACAAATCTATGCGTTTATGGATGATATTGCAATTGCAATTGCCATTGATCCAACTGTAGCTACTAAGTGTCTAAAACTATGTGCATCTGTCGAATTGGAAGCAAAATCATCTACAAGAGGACAGGTGGCTGTGGATTGGTTGAGTACAAAATATGATCCAGTTGATCGTTCCTTCAAATCAATCGGTGATAAAAATGTAAGATTCATTTTTTTTTTATTCGAATGCTTATACCATTCATCGAAGCCCATTTCGGTTCCTTTAGAAGATGTCAAACATTTGACAACTGATAAATTATTTATCATGATATATATCAGTTGACAAATTTTTGATACCTTTAACAGGAACCGAGATAATTGAGCACAAAGTTGACAGTTTGGGTGGCTCTTATGTATTAGAGGAAATATGGTAACTTTGACCTAGTTCATCTCGGTTCCTGTGACAGATTTCAAAAATTTGTCTACTGATAAATTATTTATCATAATATCACTAATATTTTATCAGTTGACATATTTTTAATATCGCTCATAGGAACCGAGATAATTGAGCTCAGAGTTGACGGGTTGGGTGAGCTTCTATTATAGAAAAATTTTTACAGGACGCCAACTGGATATCTCATACATTCGTTACGGAATATGATGTGAAAAAAGTGAACAAGATGCTGATGGAAGCTGTAAATGGCCCAGGAAAAACTAAAAAATTCGATGAGAAAAATTCTTTATTATAATAAGTTAGGTCTAATATTCCATAACGCGTTTTGGTTGTACATGAACCGCAAAAACCACTGGTACTTCGAGTGTTGTGTTCTGAAAATTGAGAGTTTTTGAATGAATAAATAAACTTTTCTCACTTCTAATCCACGTTTTCTGGTTTCAGCCGGAGTTAACCACATTTTGATTGAATGATCTGAATCCATAATGTCTGTATTAAGGAGCTGACCGCCTTGAAATTGAATTTCGAAATTTTTCTGAAATACGTTCAAATTTTTTGTGAATATTGAGGAAACCTCACAGTCTCTCCAGGTTCCATAGTTCCTGTTGGTGGTTGAACTTTGAAAAAGAACCCAAAAGTCGTCTGCCAACCGAACTTCATCTTTTTCAAAACTGGATTCGTCACTTCTAATAACATCGTCTGATCTCGAGTGTCATCCTCGAAGATTATCTTCAAAGTTAAAAAAAGGAATTTTTCTAATTTTCCTGAAATCTACCATTTGTTGGTCACCATTCGTGTACATTGTCATCTTAAAATTGTCAGAAATAGTTTATTTATGGGAAATTATACAATTGAAAAAGTCTATAATTGGCGTGAGATTGGAAGAAGTTAATAAACCGGTTTTGGTCGTTTATCCCTGCGATAATCAAATTGGCTGATTGAGTCGGACATGTGCTCGGCTTGTCGGCTCGTTGTAGTTCTGGATTTGAAAATATTGAAAATCATACATTGTATGTAATTCCTCTAACAGAAGCTTACCCGAACCGTCAACTTTGAGCCAATTTACCTCGATTCCTTTGAAAGATATCAAAAACTTGTTAACTGATAAATTGCTTATCATAATATTAGAAATATTTTGTCAGTTGACAAGTTTTTGATATCTCTCAAAGGAGTCGAGATAAATGAGCTCAAAATTAACAGTTTGGATAGGATTCTATTAGAGAAAATACGGTATACCGTTAACAATCTGATACAATGACTCCCCTAACTCTAAGCTCATATATCTCATTTCCTGTAAAAGACACAAAAAGTTGTAAAATGGCAAAATTTTTACCATAATATCAACAGCATTTTGTCAATTTATTACCTCTTATCTTCCACAGGAACCGAAATAAATTGGGTCAAAGTTGAAAGTTCTAGGACAGTTCTATTACAGATTTTACGGTAAAATCTCTTAATTGAAAAAATCACCTCATGGAATAGTTCGCTCTCGAATCACTCCATTGTGTTGACTGAATTTCGTATTTTTCCGGAAGCCGAACCCCTCTCCCTTTTTTCAAATTCCGCTCATCTCCAGAATCTCGATCTTCCGCAAATCGGAGGAGATTTCCTAGCTCCATGTATCTAAAAATTTTGAGTAGTTGTGGAATTTCTGTGTACAGAACAAACCTGTTCGCATTCCCTATATGAGCATAGTTAGAAGCATGGATTCCGAAGAATAAGAGAATTCCGAGAATGATAAGAACACATCCAACCCAACCAATGACATACCAGGAGAAGGCGGTGGATGTTAGAGCACAGAACTGCTGAACGTCTCCGCCACACATTCTCAAATTCTGAAAAAAACCGAGGCTACAGTTTTATTTTTTCAAACTAAAATACTAACCGAGTTGGCAAAATCAGAAACCAATGGCCAAAAAACATGAAGATCTATACAATCTCCATCTGTGTAGCTCGGGAGATTGTTGCAAAGACGATTGAAAAAATAATAAAATATGCAGAGCCAAGAGACAATTGAAATGATGAATAACCATGCGATAATCTGGAAATCATTCAATAAAAATACATAAAAGCAATCAGTTACCAATAATATATCAAACATCATTGCAATCACACAGGCTGCTTTACCACCACACCGAGAGTTATCATCTGAAATCAAAAAACATAATTCTGATTCAAAAAAAAGTTGGTACCTTTATACATTGTCTCTCTTGTTCCGCCAGTTGCAGTAAATCCAATACATAGGAAAAATAAAGAGAATAGACCCATGAGAACAGCAATGATTATGAAAAATACTTGAACTTTATCTAGCCATGGCCAATCATCTATCCTCAAAGATCTTCTGGTTTGTTCTGCAGTTGCATTGAATGCCCACGACATCATGATGGCAAAAAGAACAACTCCGAGAATACATAACAGGGAGCCAATAAGGGATGCATAAGGTATTCGATGGAAGCAGTCATCTTCTTCAGCCGTCGAATTCAGATGCACGACGGCGGCGTTCTGCGAACGTCTCTCCGCCGCCTGTCTCGTTGATCTTGACACTATCTTGACAGTTTGGAATTAGAACGAATAAAAAAAGGAACAAGTTTTGGAAATTGAATAATTGTAATAAGCTAGTGTAGACGGGGCACCAGCAGGCAACAAGGAAGGTATGTATGAGTGTGTTTGTTTGTATTAGCGATCGAAATTGGAAACGAGCGGAATGGAAAGATAGTGGGAGCCGATGAGATGAAATCGGAGAGACGCAGACAACTCGCCACGGATGGTCAGTTTAGCGAGGGAAATAGAAGAAGGTGACTCATGTTTGCATGAGCTTCGGTTATGAAAAGTCGGAGGAGATGAAAACAAAAAGTTATGAGAAATAGACACGGGGTTGATGTTCCAAAAAAAATTTTTGAGAAGGTGAATTTTCAGGAGTCTGGAAATTCTCAAGCGTCTAGATGTGAGAGAAGTTATATTCTATCATCATTCTATAATCTAGTGGAAGCATGGGTTCCAATGGTCGGCTGAAAGTCCGTCCACGGCCCGTCGTTTCTCCGACGACTAGCAACTAGCAGACATTTGCGACTCTTCAGCTGTCATTTAGCAAGAATTTTTTTAGCATTGCCCTTTTAATTGTGTACAGTGTCTTAACAGTTGGGTCCAGAGACTTCCCTAGGTTTACACAAGTCACAAACTACACCCAATTTGTTTATCTCTGTCTCTTTCACCTCCATTCCCGCAGTTGCACCCTCCTATCTATAACTCTTGTGTAAAAATGCAAAAAACAGACTATCTTATCGAAAAGAAACCGAAAAATATTTCAAACACACCATTTTCTGACAAACGTTCTAGTGAACATGAGGTCGATTTTGATTTTTCTTCTTGTAAGCCTGTTGGAAACCCATGCCATTATTTCCCCTCCGAATGCTCTTCTGGAAATTTCCGCTGAGATTTTTAATAATTGGAGAGATACAAGAAAAAAGTTTATGGATTCTATGAGTAAGTTTTTTTTTTTAATTTTCATGTGATTTACGACCAGAACATTCAGAACACCCAATGGGTCTACCTCATTTCAATTGCTCTCGACCAATCCTTGATTCTGCTACGTCGGTCCACCAGCTTCATCCATCTCAAATTGACGTCATCGCAGCTCTAGGAGATTCAGTCACAGTTGCACAAGCTGCAAAATCTTCTTCCATTTTTGAAATTCTCGAACAATATCCGGGCATCTCTTTTGTTACTGGAGATGATGTTACTCTGAATGAGCAATCCACACTGATCAGTGAATAGGATCGTTTTTCGTGATTCAAAAGATTATTGGTTTTCAGACATGTTCCAAAAATTTTCACCAAGAGTCAAAGGAGGATCTTCTGACCGAATTCGAAAATTCTACGATTTCAATTTTGCGGTTCCCGGATCGTTCAGTTATGAGCTCCCTGATCAAGCAAAGAAGCTTGTTAAAACTTTGAAAAGACGATTAGGGACCGATAATTCTAAAAAATGGAAACTTGTGAACATTTTCATCGGCCATAATGATTTGTGTCAATTCTGTAATAATGAGGTGAGTAGACAAATAGATTTATGAATTAAATGACAAAAAATATATTCAGACACTGCACGGACCAGAGACCTTTGGAAATGCAATTAGATCCACTTTGTTCATCATTCAGTCAGATATTCCAAATGTGTTCGTCAACATCATGCCACCAATAAATGTGCAAATCCATTCTCAAGCTCATCAAGTGAGCCCATTCTGCGAATTATCTCATAAGTAGGTCGACTTTTTCAAAAATTAATCAATTTAAAACTTATAATTCAGAAAAACCTGTCCTTGTATTTTTGAATTGGACAAAAAGGACTATAAAAAAATTAAGGAGAAGTTTGATGAGCAATTGAGAGAAATCACGAACGAATTTAATGAGAAAAATAATGATTCCAACGATTTCGCAGTTGTTATTGCTCCAGCGATGGATTTGAAGTCAATCCCTCTACTGGATAACAAACCAAATGTTGGATTATTGGCTCTTGACTGTTTTCATCTGTCTCCAATTGCCCACGATGTTGCTGCAAAGCAAATTTGGAAAGGACTTTTTGAACCGATCCAATCAAAAACTATTACCAATCAGACATCTGTAGGATTCGATAGATTTGTTTGTCCGCCGACTGAATGCTCGTTCCTTCGAACGAGTAAAAACTCGGTTGATTGTGAACCACCGAAGAATTTTAGGTTCCTCCCAATTCTTCCAGAAAGCTCTACTGTGGGAATGAATATGCCTTCATTCCTGGTCCCTGCATTCTTTCTCATGGGTAAGATTTTTTACAAAATTGAAAAAAAAATCGAAATGAAATTTCAGGAAGTGTTCTAATTCTACTATTTGTTCGTGCTTCTTTCCGTCGCCCGTCATCTGAATTTTCCGATGAACGACAGTATTTACTTCTTCCGATGCGTCGTGCCGACCTCAACGACAACATCTTCTGAATGACTTCTTCTTCTTCTAATGGACTCATGCCACTTAATGAAGTTTCCGAAAGATTTATGAGAATCCAACGTATTCAAATTGTTTCCTACTACTAGTAATTCTTACTCTTCTTCCTTAGTGATGTCACACGTATACGGGTCGTTTCTGTTTTGCAGTCAGTTTCACTTCTATTGTTCTTATTATTCTGTTGGTCTTCTACTGTTCTGTTGTGGTCTGATCACTAGATATCAGTCCCTTTAGAGATGTAGCATCATAATAGCAAAAGAGGAAATAAAGTGTATATATTATATCTATGTACATACATATACCTCTAAAACGATTCAAATCAGACGGAGGAGAATCGAAATTGAGAGGAGGGGGAGATGAAACCCGATTGGGATTACGTAACCGAGTTTCTTTCGGAAATCAATCAAAGTGGACAGAGGTGATAAGGAAAAGGGTAAAAGAGATGGACATGGGAATCAGTGATTTTGATTACGTCAGGGTTCATGAAGAAGCTGTTGAGCGAATTGGAACAGAAATTCTATTAATGACGTCATCCGGGAAGCTCGAAATGAAATAAAAGCTTCGTGCCGTAAGACCTGTAATATAAGGGCCCCTAACTTTTAACTTTAAAATTATATTTTTCCTGGTTACTGTAAAAATGAAAACAATTTGTCAACTGATATATTCGTCATAATACCAAATTTTTGGTCAGTTGACACATTTTTGATATCTCTCATAGAAAGCGAGATAAGTAAGCACAAACTTCACAGTGTAATTGCCCTTTTATTAGAGGTTTTCCGGTATTCAAGTTTTAACTGCATAGGCTAGGCTACACAAGCATCTGCTTAAAACAAAAATTAATCTAAAACGATCATCTTTGATTAGAAACCAAGATTTTTAGATTTTCCGGTTTTGAATCAAAATGGAAAAAAATCATTCGAAGCAAAATGTCATCTACCGTATGCAAGCTAAGCGAAACCCACTGAAACCGTCCACTTTGAGCTCAATTATCTAGACTTCTGTTAAAGATATCAAAATTTCGTCAATTGATAAAATGTTAGTGATATTATGGTAAACAATTTATCAATGGACAAGTTTTGATATCTTTCACAAGATTCGAGATAATTGAGCCCAAAGTAGACGATTTGGATCGTCATATGTATTAGATGAAACGCGGTACTTGGTGATACGCAAATTGGTGGAAAAGGACCCAGTGAATTTTCAGTAAGAATTAATAAAGTCGAAATCTGAAGAGGAATTGAAATTTTAAAAACCTGTAATAGAAAGTCACTCACACTGTCAAGTTTGAGTCTATTTATCTCAAGCCCTGTCAAAGATATAACAAATTAGTCAACTATCAAATTGACACATTCTTGATAGATTTCACAGCAACAGAGATAATATAGCTTAAAGTTGACAGTGTGAGCACCTTCCATCAGGTTTTACGGTATGTCTGGTTGAACAGTGTTCTTGTTCCTGAATACATTACTTTCTGAATTTCCTCTCTGTCCATATCAATCCTTTCTTTGATCTTCCATCATTTTGGTTTCATACCTCATCGATAAAGACAAAGTCATCCACAGTCAGTCCACTCTCTCTATATCCAATTTATCTGCCGGGCGGACAAAAAAAGAACTCGTTTTTTATTTATCTTTTGCTTCTGCTTTTCCTTTTTTCTCCTTTTTTTTGCTACGTCGTCGTCCTTTTTTGAAAGCCTTTCGTTTCCTCTGATGGCGGCCAAAACATCTGTGCCCTCGACGATTGCGCAACGCGGCTTCTCCCCTCTTCCATTTCTTCTGGAGACGGGTTTGACGGTGTCGCGCCACAGCTTCACGTTGCGTCGTTAGGGGTTTCATGAGTCGAGAGAGAGAGGGAGGAAAACGACATGTAATTGTTTGTGATGGGGACACATACACGAAATTGCCAATCAAAAAGGTTAGCGCCTTGAAAGTGAAAGAAAATGTCTCACCGGAATAACCGCTTCATCTCAATTTCAAAGGGTTTCCAAGTACCAGGGACAACACTGCCACGTCATCCTCCTCATCCTTGAGGTTTCAAACAAATTGAAGTCGAAACCACAACTAGTAATTCTTCGAATGATGCATGCCAAGTGTGACCATAAAAGATGTACAACACCTAGTCGTCCTAATTAACAATTGGTTTCTTCCTCTTTCCTCAATCTGCCTTCTTCTTTTCTTCCAAAAAGCCAGCTTCACACCAGTCGCGTGTCGCCTAGATTATACTAGAAATTACACATCTTGCCCACACCGTTACAGTCGACAGAGAGACGACGACCTTTTCCAGTGTTCCTCCCCAACGCCTTCTTCCGACGACGTCTTCATCTCCATCCCTCTTTTTTCTGCTTCTTCTTCGTTTTGCCGCTCCGCGTCTTGGCCACGCCCCCGTTGCCATTCGGCTTTAGTTAGCAGTGCTGGACTGCCCACTAAGATCCGGTCCTCACTAGTCTATACCTTCTTCTTACCTTTCTCTTCTTTTGCCAAAATTATGATCTACCGATTTGTGGCCGCGGTCGCCATTCTGGCGGCGAACGGTGAGTTTCAGCCGGTTGCTCTTTTTTACAGAAAAAGTTCTGTTGGGAAAAAATTTTAAGGTTCAATTTTTAAATACTAACTTCTAGAATTTTTCAAGTTCTCAATGATCTCGATTTCTATAAGAAATTTCTGTCAACTGATAGAATGTTGGTGACATTATGATAAACATGTTATCACTTGACAAACTTTTGATATCTTTCACAGGATTCGAGATAATTGAGCTCAAAGTTGTGTGTACTTCTAACAGTTTGAATACGGTACCTGCTGTGTGACAGCGTCGGGGTTTTCATTAGTTTTGCTTGATCATCATCTTTAAAAACTCGCATTTTGATTTTGTTACTGAATTTATTCTCAAAAGCCATGCTTACGAATTCCTGGAAGAAAAAATCATCTTCGGATCCAACTTCTACACCAGTCCACCTGGAACCTAAAATCTGAAAGCCCGATCCAAACTTCACAGAATGCCTTTTTCAAAATCTATTTTTTCAGCTCATTGTCAGTATTATGAATGGCCACAACAACAGCAGTACAATCAATTTAATCAAGGATATCAGCAGTTTCAACAGCCACAACAATTCCAGCAACCACAGCAATATCAACCACAACCATTCGAGCAGCAATTCCCCACTCAACAACCACAATACCAACAACCACAACAATATCTACCACAACAACCATCACAATATTTCCAACAACCACAACCACAACAGCAGCAGCCTGTGCAACAATATCAGCCACAACAACCCCAACAACCTTATCAACAACAACCACCACCAGCTCCACCACCAATTTATTCTCAAACTGTGATCATTCCACAAGCCCCACCACCACCACCAGAGGCTTATCAAGCACAACAATATGTCCCATCGCAGCAATCGCCAGTGATGGTTCAGCCAGCCGATATTCCAAGATATCATCAGAAGCCATTGGCACCAAAGGTTCCTGATGTTGCTTTTCAACATGCGAATACGGCTAGAAGTGTGCAACAAGTCGATTTTGATAACAAATTGTTCCGAGAGCAACCAAATTCTCTCGCACAGAATCAGGAAAAGGTGAGTGATGCATGCAAATCAAGGTATATCAAATAATTGGTTAAAAGTCGGACCTTTTCAAATAACGTACCGTCCAATAAGATATACAAAAAAACGTATTTTCCAGTTGATTTCCGGCCATTTTGAGTATCTTCTTGAGTTTAGAGCTCGGCTGTCAAGTGTCCGAAAACTGAAAATTTTGGAGGGTGTAAAAAAGGCCTAAATCACAAACTTTGCATCCACATAGTTTTTAGAAAATTCCTTTCATTTCCAATTTCTGAAAGACACACCTTTTTGGCCTGTTTTTGTTCTGAAAATAGGGTGCCTTCAGAAATCGGCAAATAACTGGAAAACTAAAAATTTTTCAAAAAATTCTGCAAATGCAAAGTTTCTAATCTAGGTCTGTTTTACACTCTCCAAACTTTTCGAAGTCATCTAAAGCTTGACATCCGAACTCTAGACTCCTCAAAATGGAAGAAATAATCGAAAACAAACTGAAAAATGTGTTTTTGTATATCTTCTGTAGAAGTTTCAAAAAGAGAAATAAACCCATATAATTCGGAATTATTATTTTTCAAACCTCATTCTTTCATTTTGCACTATTCTGTTCCATTCGTTGCAGATCACTCTGCTCGCCCAACCACCACCACCTCCGGCACCGCCAGCACAGACTCAGGCACCACTCGTACGTAAATTCTCTGCATGTTTCTTTTCCCCCTATTTTTTCCTTTTTTCCATACGAATCACTCACTCCATCCTGTCCTCCGTCGACTCTCATCCCCCTTTTCAGATTCGTGTTCCACCACCACCGGCTCGATTCATCCCCACCCTGAAATCTCTGTACAATGTGGATCCACCGCGTCCAAAGGTTTTCAGATTTCTGTTTAACGAAATATTTAACCTAACTTCTCCAGAACCCATCGTACAGACCAGATGAGATCATCGTGGATGGCCATCGATCGGCATATTTTGAGGATACACAACGTACTAGACCTCAGGTACTTTCCCTAGTTGTCCTTGTTTTTGGTCTTGTGAAAGTGTTGTTTTTATCGTATTGAAAGAAAATTATAAAGCAAATAATATTTAGGCATCAAAGGCTCGTGTGCAGTCAGTAGGAGGAAATGTTCACTCAAGTTCTGCTAACATTCCACGTACATCTCAACCAGCAGCCGTCGTAGCATCACCACAACAACAATCGTTCGTCAGACCAAATGAGGTGAGCATTGTCCAGCTCCGCGTCGCTTCGAAACCAGTCATTTCGAAACCGGTGGTAATACATGCGAATGGATAAGTTTTAGACTACAAAAACAATTTTAGGATTTTCAAATATGCTTTTTCTCATAGAACGCATTCAGAAATCCGAAAAAAAAAACAAAATTGGAAGTTCTCAAAAGAAGAAGAGTTCTCGAACTTTTCGATTTTCAGAATGTGTTCTGTTAGAAAAAACATATTTGAAAGCCCTAAAATCGTTTTTGAAGTCTGAAATTTATCCATTAGCATGAAATATACCCATTCGCATGTCGTCCATTTTCCGGCAATTTTTTAGATTTACTATTAGAACAATTTTATTTTCCGAATTGTTTGCCGGTTTTCAACACAAACGTTCGTCAAAACGCAAAAGTAATAGAGAAAAAAGGACCGAAATTTTGCAAATTACTGTAGTTTTTGTTACGGAAACCGTTTTTTGGAACCAGAATAATAAGGATCTTTTGATTTTTCAGCAGCACCAGCAGCCACGTGTCGTCCGTCCACAACCACAGCAACCATTGACGCGTCCTGCTCCAATCAGACCACAGACTCGTCGTCCAGCTCCTCAGCCACAGCAAGCTACCCGCCCAATTCCACGTCCAGCTGCTCCAAAGAGTCATTTGGCTCCACAACCTGCTCCAGTTGTTGCTGCTTCTAAGCCAAGAGTCAGTCCTTGAATTATGCTTCAATTCTCATTAGAAAAATTTCAGTCAGCCAGTGAGAAGTTTCTGCAATGCTGCAAAGGACGTAAAGTTCATAATTCTTGCGAAAGAATCTGCAGTTTTGATGTTCTCTCAAAGAAGACGTTGACTGGAATGTTCCTTGGAACTGATCCATGCCCACAACACCATGGACTTGATCTGATGCAATGTGCTGCAGACAATGACGATCATACTGAATGTTGTATCGATAGAGAAGTCGATAGAACATCAGCAGGCAAGAAATGCCTCGGATTCTGTAATATGAAGCCAGGAATCACCTTCCAGGTAATCAGCCAACCCTATTATATTGATTTTCAAAAGTAATCTTCAGGCTGATGTTTCTATGCTCCCATGCTGGTCGGTACTCAATGATATCAAGCAATGCTTCAAGGAGAACTTGGAGCGTCAACTAGCTGCTGCAATCTAGGAGTCAAATGTGAAAATGTGCTCTCTCACACAAATGCCAACCCAATTCTAGTCCTTGCCATGTTAAATTATTATTCTTTTTTTTCGATTACCGTCCAGCCTATTTTTTGTTGAACCGGTGTTGTATGTATTATACCTAGCGAAGACAGTACAATATAATGAATTTAGAAGTGTGTAAATGAAGAAAGTTCATGACGATTTTTCGGATCCGAACTGAATAACCGAAATATTTAAAACAATAACAAAACGATGGGGTACTACACTACTGTGAAACAAAAAAAAGAAGGAAAAGCTAATAAAAAGAGAAGAAACAGGATATTTCCAAAATTCAGATTACTCATCAATGCGTTAAGATCAGGTTCGGGAATGACTTATTTAACGTCGTTTGTCGGAAACGTTCAGATAGTCGTTGTCGGCGATGTTCAACATCAAGCCACCAGTTGGAAGGTATGTTTTGTTGCCAGACTCCGAAACAACTCGGGCAATCTTCTGTGCAGCACGAATCTTTCTGAGCTTCAAAAATCCTGGATCGTTCTTCATGGCCTCTCCGAGCAGCTTAGCGGATTCGGCTTCTCCTTCAGCTTGGACAATCTTTTCTTGTTTTTGCTGCTTGGCACGCTCCACGTAGAAAGAAGCTCTTTGGGCCTCTTGAGCAGCGACTTGTTTGGCTTCAACAGCAGCAGAATATTGTGGAGAGAAAGCGAGCTCGGTGAGGGATACGTCGTCCAGAATGATGTTGAAGTCAAGAGCACGCTCAATCAAAGCTTTTCGGACTAACATGGACACCTGAAGAGGAAGAATCGTTTAAGTTCTTTGTATTTGAATTTACCTGTTGGCGCTGAGTAATGAGCTGCGAAGCGTTGAACTTGGCAACGACTCCCTTGAGAACCTCATTACAAATGGATGGAAGAACGCGCTCTTCCCAATTTTGTCCGAGGGTTCTGTAGATGTGGACAAGCTTGTCTGGGTTTGGTCTGGAAAGCACTCGAAGTCCGATGTTGACCATTTGCAAATCTTTGGATCCGGTTGGTGAACGAATCTAAAAACTTTTAGTTGAGAAATATCGTGAATGTTAATTACCTACCTGGTTTGGTCTGGCACGAATATCGTAAACAATCGGGTATTGGAACCATGGAACTCTGAAATGAAGTCCTTCTTTGTACAAATCAGTTGAAAGACCTCCAAGTCTGTTGAACATGATTGCTCGGTGTCCAGCTTCTACTGAAAAAATAAAACTGAAAATTTAGACAGTTGAAAACAACTTGCCGGTGAACATCGATTGTGAGATTCCGTACACCGCAGCTCCGGCAGCAGCTACAAGACCGATTCCGACTCCAGCTCCTCTGGCATTTTGAAGAGCCTTCTTCATTGCTTCTTGCCCTTGTTTCGCCATTTTCTAAAAATTGCGTAACTATTAGAAGTAAAATGATGCAAATGGTACATAAATAGTAACGACTGAGGTTTGAGCAAATGATATATAAATTCGTTAAAAAGACAGATTAATTGTAAGAAAAGAAGCACAACTGAAAGTTTATATCGAAAAGGATTAGTGACCGAATCCGGAATATGGAAAACATGATGCATTTCTTCAGCGGTGTAAAAACAATAGTACTAAATTTTCATCGCATGTCTTGAACTGAAAATTGAAACATATTGTGATAAAAAATCATCTTAACGGTGTCTGGTTTGATTTTAAAGATGTTATTCTAGCCAAAAAAATGGAGAAAAAAGGTAGAAAAAGGGAAGAGAGACAAAAAGAGAAATACGCAGAAATTTAGATCGCTGCGAGACCTGCGAGTGATTCTTGCTTGCGCCTTTAATACGAACAGCGAGACATGCATGGAAAAAGGATACGTAGAGAAAGAAAAGCGAGGTTTTTTAAATTTAATACAAAGCACAAAAAATAAATAAGAAAGATCTCGAGTGACGAAACTAGAATAACTTAATTAGATTTAACTCTAATATTTATTTAAACATGAATATTTATTCAGCAAAAAAATAATTTAAAAACGAATAAAAAACAACCAAGGGGTAATATAATCACCGCAATATCACATTCGGATTCAAGACAAATTCACAGGCATCAGAAAACAATGCAGACAGAACAAGTTGAACAAAAACTAGATAAAAAAGATCCCGTGGAGAATGGATGTTTGAAAGAGAGAAAGTTTAAAAATTAAAGCTCGGTTTTCATCTCGGATTCAGCTCCCGTTTCCGGCTCCTTGGTCTTATCCTTTGTTTCAGTATTTTCTTCCGAGGAAGCTTTCTTTTCGGCTTCAGCAACAATATCGTCAATGTTGATCTTCCCGTCTTTGTTAAGCTCATCAAGTGTTGTAATTTTCTTCATTTTCTTCATGAATCGATCTACTTCACGATTCAAGCTTCTAATCTGTAAAATGAAAGACTTTAAGAGCATGCTGCATATTTGTTGCTTACTTTTGAATCGATATCTTTGCCAGTGAAGTTGAAATCATCAAACTTCTTCTTTGTATCTAAGTGTTTTCGTACACCTTCCACCCAAACCTTCAATTTATCTAGTTTTGTTTTCAAGCCATCGCGATCTTCCTGTAAATATAAGATTTAGTTTTATAAGGATCTGCTGATTATTAACCTTCTTGAACAATGCTTTCTCTTCATCAACGTTATTACCCAAAGTGGTTAGGGATAAAGTTGTTTCCAGAAGAGTATCTAAACTCTTCATTTTCTCGGGTATAGTTTTGTCGTGCTCTTGTCTTTTCTTCACTGTCCTTACGACATTCTTCAGCTCGAGCAAGTTATCCGTGAACTCTTTAGTAGGCGTTTCTTTTGTCACATCATCTTCAAGCCATAGACGAATTCTTTTCACCGATTCTTCCAACTTTGATTTTTCTTCCTCCGTTGTAAAGTCAGTGAATTCACTCTCCTCCAAGTATTGAGAACACTCGAAACTGAACGATTCCAACTCATTTTCGGCAGCAGCTCTTTCATCTGCCAGCCGCTCTTTTTCAGAAAAAGCCACCATTCTTCTTTTTTCCTCATCGACATCGTAACGATTCGGAACGTAGGCCGATGGATACTTGTTGATGATTCGGAGACGAACAATTGGTGGGAGTTCCTTCTTCTTTGGTTTCACGTCTGTCGTGTTTCCTGAAGTTGTGGTCTCATCGGTGCCATTCGCCTTTGGAGATTCTTCTGTAGAGGGAGTAGCAGAAGGTTCTGGTTGTGGCGTAGTCTCCTCAGCCTTTGGTGCTTCTCTTTCTTCAATCTTTTCTTCGTTTGAGCCGGTAGCAGTTGCTTCATCTGTAGTTGGTTCTCCTTCCTCTGTTTTCGAAGAGAATAGTCCAGTGAGTGTGCTGGTTATCGCTGAAACTTAGTAGGATTAACAAACAAAACACATCTGGGATATCTTACATCCTACGATTCCAGACTTAGCTTCAAACATAGCTTCTGCTCGTCGAACTCTCACAATTCCAGAAGCGTCGATCAAGAAGCTGACCTTGACTCCTTTGAATTCGGATTCCTCGCTTGATCTATTTTTCAACGCATCACTCAAACCACTGATTTCTACATCGATCAGATTATCGAGTAGATTTCCAACCTCTTGCAATTGCTTCTTCGTCAGACTCTCCACTGCCCCGTACTTCAAAGCGATCGCGAAGTCATCCGAATATGAAGTTAGCGATATGGTTTTCGGATTGGTTGGATAAACAGAGTTTGCAGCAAAAAGAGTCTTAACTACGTTTTTCTCGCCCACAATCTCCTCCGTTTTCTCGTCCTTGACCTTGCTCACGAAATGAACCTCCACTGGGAAGATTAATTTTTCCTCCACATTGAAAGGCTTGACCTTAAACCCTTTGCTGAGGTGAGCAGCTTGGAAAAGGGAACCCATTGCAACGGCTTCATCAGTGTTCAAGAACTTTCCGATTTCCTTCCTGAAAAAAAAAAGAAAAGTGTTCAGCGGCCTACTATCAAACTCCGGTCATAGGACGGCGGTGTTAGCGAATCCACCAATTTTCTTATCTAGCGTCTCTAACAGTCGAACAGACCATTGCAACATGTTGCGAGTTGTCCGGGTTGGAGAGACGCGGGCGGGAAGCGAACTCGCGCTGTGTTTATGAAACACACACGCGCAGCCGCGGACACTACCGCGGTACAAGAAGAATAGAGGGAGAGGGTGGGTAGATATTGCGGCGCGCGCAGTTGGTGTGCGTACTTACGTTCCAATAGTTTTCTGAACAACTTCTTGTACTTTTGGCACTCTCGTTCCTGCTCCCATCAAAACAAATTGATCAATATCTTCGATTGGAATCTGAGCCATTCGCAGTGCTTGCTCAATTGGTTCCCCAAATCTTGGTGTCATGTCTTCAATGAGGCGATTGAATTCTTCACGGGTCATCTTCAGTTTCGCATCAATGTCTTCATGAGCACTCTCAATTTGAGCAAAATGTTCAGCGTTCGCAGACAAAACTTGTTTTAAACGTTCTGCCTCCTTGGCGAATTTGGCGAACGCTCTTCTGTTGGTGTTGACTTTAGTTTTTGGTTTATAAGTCTTCTCAAACATCTCGATAAGGTGATCTCTCAACCGGTTTGTCATCTCAATACCTCCCAACGTTCTGTCGTATCCCACTCCCAAAACCGTCATCTTCGGCTGCTTCTCATATTTTTCTTTGACCAATTTGAACTCGACAATAGTAGCTGTGGTCTTCGCAGCGCCCATATCGTAAACCATCAGTCTTTGAGGCTTTTCTGTAATATCCTTTCTTCTGAAGATGCCATGACTTAATGCAGCCGCTGTCCCATCATTGATCAGTTGAAGAACATTGAATCCAGCCATTTGAGCGGCTCGTTCCAATGCTAATCTCTCCACTGGGGTGAAGTAGACTGGAACAGTGATGACCACATCCTTGATTTCAGAAACTTGAGCATACTCTTCAGTGAACTTCTTCGCGTTAGCAAGAACCATAGCAGTCAGAGCTTCAACAGAGTAGCTCTCTCCTCTGAAAGAAAAACACTATTAAAATATTTAACAATTGCAGTACTATCTTACCCGAGCTTAAAGTTAACAGAAGACGCGTTTCTAGGCGAGTCATCAATTTCATAGAAGGGATTTCTATTTTTAAAAAGCTCAAATGACGGATGTTGGAAAGACTTGGCAATCAAGTCATTCAAGTTTCCGTGTACAAGATGAGGATAGCGGACTTGCATACCGATGGCAGCATCGGCAAACGTTCTGTGACCATCTTGGATCATCACAACATTTGGAGTTTTTCTCCGCGACTCGGTGTTAAGGGCAATGTCCATAGGAATACCAGGTTTCACGATTCCGATTTTGAGAAACTGAGTCCCAAGATCAATTGTCATTGCAGCCAACTGACCATCTGTTGACATAAACATGCCGAAGAAAAGGAATGGTGCGAGCATGTTGATCCCCCGTAACCGCATAATTCTGAAAATATTTTCAAAAATCAGCTCGATTTTGTCAAAACATAAGAGTTTGGGTATGATAACGATAAAACGTTAGTTAGAAATTTAAAAAAAAAGTGAAACAAGCAATTTTATTCACCTAAATAGATATTTAGATGGTCTGAAAAAACGGGCGACTGCAAGTAGAAGAATCGTTGGCAAGATGACACAAATCGCCACGTAGCAAATCCCCACATTGTGGGTTGAGAAAGTTAATCATATGTTTTTGAATGCGAGATTGAGCAAAGTAACTAGAACAAAATAGTGGTGAAATGAGACAATGAAAATAATTGAAAGAATTGAACATCGGAGTAAATATCTATTTCACAAGTCTAAAGCAAATCATTCGGTGTTTTGACCCTTCTTTTCTTGCTCAACGGCCACAGCACTCAACTTGGTGATCAATTCCCCGCCGAACCTTTGACTGAAAATTTAAATTCTTTTGAGTATGCCACGAGAAAATCCCAGTTTACCGGTATTCCGGGGAGATTTCAGTGAGAAGCGCATGCAGCGTTTCAAAGTACTTGGTATGAATACTCAGCTGCCGGAAATCGCCGTTCATGCAATCGTTTCGGTTCGAAGCCACTCGCCAGCCTTTGACTGAAAAAAAGGAATCATTGCTATGAAGTTCGTATGAACTGAATAAAATATACTTACTGGTCAGTTCAATGCAATGAGTGTGGTTTTCAGCTGTGGTAACATTGATGAAGAGCAACTGCGAAGTGCGAGGAAGCATCTCGCTGACACCGATGAGGTTCACTGCGAATGCATGTTCGCGAACTGCAGCCATTGCGGTCTCTTCGAGACCAGTCTTTTCTGCGTCGGTGTGACAGTTTCTAAAAACTAGGGATGCATGACAGTAATCTGCAAGACACTCACTCGCAGAACGGTGGCTTCTTCACTGTCACAGGTGTGGTTGGCGGAGTCGTTGTCTCGGTCAAGGAATCATTTCCCGTTTGCTGCGTCATAACTTTCTGAATACAATTTTTTTTGACTAAATTCCAGACTGGAATCCAGTCACTGGATACAGAAATATGACGAAAACCGTTGTTAACAGATGAATGAGTTAAATTTGAGTTGACTTGTAGACTTTATGTGACAATGTATTTATACATCTATATATTTCTAACAGAATGTGAGAACGCAATCCCGTTATTTAATCATGGCATAAGAGTAGAGAAGAAATACGTCCATTATTGTCGAGTAACCACATTGTAGAGTTTTTCAAGCTTGTCAAGGTCCGATTTGGTCTGAAAAAATGGGGGCGATATTTTGGAGGGATTGAAAAAAAACTAACTTTTTGAACATTTTCATTGAGTTGATCAATTCTAGTGAACAGGTTTTCAATTTCCAGAATATTCGTTTCGGTCTGTTTCAACTGATCGCTGATTCCTTCAGAATGAGTTTCAGTGAGAATTTGAATAGTTCGGAGTTCTTCAAGTACAACAGTACATTTGTCCAGAACTGTGTTCATCGGAGTAGAGCGATCATTCTGGAAACCGGTAGGTTGTCAATCACATCAGAGTTTTGAAGCTACCATGCCTGCAGCGAGTCCCACGAGATTGTGCAAGTTAGATGTAATCTCTTCGACACCATTCATTGTTTTCTGAAGAACTGAAAATCAATACTCTTACATTAGTATTAAGTAAACTAATGGGACGGTGCATAAGTAAACGTCGGCTTATGGCTTATGCGACGTAGAAGAGTAAAAAGGAACAGAAAAGTGCCACTGGGATAAACATTGATTAGTGAGAGAACGGAAGAACCAATAAAGATTAGATGTTTTTCAAAGTATGTTCAGAAAAATGGGGGCAGACGGAAGAAAAACTACAGAGAACGACCTCAAAATAGGAGAGGCGCCTCGCCTGCAAAAAAAAAGCCGTGGGATACCGAGTAACGGCGCTCCGTTAGACGAGGATTTGCGCGCTGCGTTCAAATATCGCTCGGTGGTTGGATTGATAGATTTTCAGAAAAAAACATGTTTATGATAAGTACTTCATCAAGAATCCTTGCAAGGAGCGTATATTATTGAGAAGTCCTTCAGAATTCATTCGGACGAAACGACACATCAACCCTAAATGGGTGAATCATCAATGACCCAATTGAAAATGATATCATTTGCTTTTCTGTTTTCTCAATGTCACATTTAGGCACATAAATTTCATTAAAAAATATTTTCACTTTTATATAAAATTAATTTTTCAAAAATGAATTGATTGCTCGAAGTTGTACGCTATTGTTGGTTTCAGAAGGATTACTGTAGAATTACAAAGACGAACCATTTTCATTTTAACATTATTCTGGTGAATACCATGTCCGGAATAATTTTTTGAGAAACGGAATCCGGAATCCGGAATAAAATAATTTTCTCGGAACCGGAATCCGGAATCCTGACAAATAAAAATTTCTCGGAATCCGGAATCCGGAATGAAATTAATTTTCCGGAATCCGGAATACGGAATACGGAATCCGGAATGAAAAAAGCCCGGAATCCGGAATACGCAATACGGAGTTCGGAATTTTGAGTTTTCCAAATGGGCAGAAAAGTTCTAAAAACACATATCGTGCTTTATTTTTGCATTTTTAGTAGCGGAAGTTGAAAAAAGTCAGAGAATTCTTGAAAATTAACAATTATGTTCAAAATCCGGGATAAAAAAATTTCTCGGAATCCGGAATACGGAATCCGGACAAATGAAAATTTTCCGAAATCCGGAATACGGAATCCGGACAAAAATATTTTTCACGGCATCCGGAATCCGGAATCCGGACATCTCTGGTGAATACCGAAAAATCGGACCTGTGGAAGAGAAAAGCTTGTGGCCATGGCCAAAGGTCTCACAACGACAACTATCGTAACCTAAAACTTTCAATATTTTTTCTCGACTACTTTTCAACAAATATTGTGTTGAATAGCTCGAAAGTAGTCTGGAAATAGAAATTTCCTGAATCTTAGAAACTTTAAAATTTCTCGAAAACTGACCAAAATCGGGAAAAAATTCCAAAACTCCGATTTTTTGGGTTACGGTAGTTGTCGTTCTGGGACCTTCGGCCACGGTCACCAGATTTTCTCTTCCGCCATCCGAATTTCGCATACCAAAATAATAAGTACACATACATTATTCTTGAGAATTTCCTTCTCTTCGTATTGAGACACATCGCTAACACAAATATTTGTCAGTGAGTCACTTTTCGGCACTTTTTAGGAAAAAAAGAAGGATACCAACTTTGAATTTTTAAAGCTTTTCACACCTTTTTTCAAATTGAACATTCCAACTTCTGTATGCATCTCTCAGTCTATTCAAAATTTGTCCATTTTCATTTTGCAGTGTTGTGCTTTCCACATTTTTATCGATTCGTGTCCCCGTATCAGTAGTATAGTGGGAGGGCGGCAAAACTATGACTCAGTTCACACTATCCTCTTTTAAGTGTGTCTTCTCAGTTTGTGTTCTTATTTCTTTTCCTAGCTTTTATAGACTTTTTCTTTTTATAGTAGGTATGAGAATATGACAACTCCTCGACCTACACATCTTCATAGAAGATCATCGTCGAAATGGGTCCCACCGTCTGCTCCGTTGCATAATCCAATTTCTATTTTTAAGGGAAGAAGTAATCGAGAAACTGGGTAACCTTTCTTTCATTAAAAATATTTCATCTGAAATCTTAAATCCCAAATTTTTAGATCTCGAGTTATTCGTCCAAACCATTTATTCGAGTCTCCCCGTTATGAACTAACCAACTATCGAGATTTTACTGATAATCAAATTTCTACAACCAAGTATTCAATTTGGAATTTCATCCCACTCAACATTTGGCATCAGATCTCTACAAAATATGCAAACCTCTATTTTATATTTATTGCTGTTCTAAATTGGGTTCCTTTCTTTGACGCCTACACTCGATATGTGGGTCTTATTCCTATATGTTTCGTGCTAGGAACCACGTTGATCAAAGACGGAATCGAGGATTATCGAAGATGGAAATTTGATAACCAGATCAACAAAAAAACATGTCATGTATGGGATAGAGAGAGATGTGCATTCCGAAAAACTGAATGGAGATACATTTTAGTTGGAGACTTTGTACATATATCCAACGATCAAGATGTTCCAGCTGATATAATACTGTTGAGGTCCTCGAATGAAAGCGGAACTTGTTATATCGAAACTTGTAATTTAGACGGAGAAACATCTTTGAAACAGAGAATGGTACCAGCCAAAGTTGTTGGTTATTCAAAGGTATCCGTATAGGATCTGAGATTCTAAATTTTAAAAAAGTTATGCTATTCCAGAAGGATTCAACTTTCAAACCATCAGATTTTACTGGCGTTGTCACTTGTGAAAAACCGGATAAGAGCATTTACACAATTCGAGCAAAAGTTGAATATGAACCAGGTGAGATTTGACATGCCGTAAAACCTGAAGGGCCGCCAGACTGTCAAGTTTGAGCTCAATGATCTCGGTTTCTGTGAAAGATATCAAAAATGTGTCAACTGGTAGAATACTGGTGATATTATCTGTATCTTTGACAGGAACCGAGATAAATTGGCTCAAAGGAAAAAAGTTAGGGCGCTTTTCTATTACAGGTTTTACGGTGTTTTTCAACTTTCAAAGTTTGGAAATTTAGGTCAAACAGATGTTATCATAAAAGATAACATGCTTCTTCGTGGGTCACGAATAAAGAATACCACTTTTGTGGAAGGAATTGTGGTTTATGCAGGACACGATACGAAAGTGATGTTGAACAATGGAAGAGCTCCACATAAAACTTCAGGAATTGAAAAACTAACAAACAAGTGAGATACTGTAAAACCTGTAATAGAAGAGCCTTCACCTTGTCAAGTTTGAGCCCTTATATCTCATTGTCTGTAAAAGATGTCAAAAAGTAATCAACTAATGAAATGTTTATCATAATATCGCCAACATTTTATCAGTTTTCAATTTTTTGATACCTATGACAGGGACCGAGATAAATTGGTTCAAAGTTCAAAGTTAGGGGGCCCTTCTATTACAGATTTTACGGAAAACTTTTTTTTCAGAAATGACAACAATAGTGTTTTTTCAGATTCATTATTGCTTGTTTCGTGATGCTTCTGATCATGGTAATCTATGGAGCATCAGCTTCTGCGGTTTGGGTTGGAGATCACCCAACAAATGAACAGGTAAATTTATTCAAAAAACTTATTGAAATCGATCAAAAAATTGGTCGAAAACACCCGATCAGTCTTCCTCTTTTTCAATATCAACTTTTCCGAGAGACTCCGCATTTTTGTCGAGAGCAGCATCGTAGGCATGAGAAATCTAAAATAGGGAAATTCAGAAAAAAAAATTTAAACCAAAAAACTTACGTCTTTCCTTCTTTGCTTCTCTCTTTTCTCTATTCGTTTCCTCTGACGTCGTTCTTTCAAAACCGTACTATCCCTTGCGTCCTCCAGAGGAATTGCTGGTTTCTTTTTTTGATTTTTCAGAAAATCTTCTTTTTTGACTCTTGAGATGCGGTTTTGATCTTCCAGAAGTTTCTTTTTCTGCCTCATTCTAACTAATCGTGGACTATCCGAATTTCGCAGAAATTCGCAGAATTTTTGCCGATTACTGTCCGATAGAGCGCACTTGAAACAGGCATAGAGTGTATACAAGGAGAAGAAACGCAGACATTCCAGATTCCATTCATCCTGTCCAATACACCGACACCATTCATTGAAGGTTTTATTGGGATTGGGGCATTCTTCATCAATTATCAACTGCTAGTGCCAATCTCACTTTACATTACTGTTGAGATTATCAAGGCACTTCAAATTTACTTTATCAGTAATGACATTCAGTTGTATGATTCAAAATCAGTGAGTCATGGAACAAGAGTAGGGACTTCTGAACTATTAGAATTTCAGGATAGAGCAATCGATTGTCGTTCATTGAGTATTCCAGAAGAACTTGGAACAGTTACACATGTGTTATCAGATAAAACAGGAACACTAACAGAAAATATGATGATATTCCGAAATTGTGCATTTGATGAGACGGATTACGGTACTCAAGGTTCGAAGTCGAACCCGGATCAACCAGTTAAATGTGAAGAGCTGTACCAAAGAATCAATAATTCTATGCATAACCCTGTCCAGAAACATTTCTTTGCAAATATTCTTCTGAATAATTCAGTGGTAGTCAATACAATTCCACATACAGATCTATTGGAATTGGGGAATTTCGAAGGAGGAGTTTATAACATTGGCAATTCATGTTTCTATGATGTAACAGAAGAAAAGTACAAAGCAATGTTAGCTGCTGTTGGCAAAGAGCCAACTGAATCGGATGATGTATCAAGACCAGATATGTGAGTTGCAATTACCTTTTAACTTTGAGTCATTTTATCTCGGTTCTTGTCAAAGATAGTAAGTTATCAACGAATAAATTGTTTATCATAATATCCCAAGCATTTTATCATCTGACACATTTTTGATATCTTTCACAGGAATCGAGATAAATCAGCTCAAAGTTGACAGTGTCTTTCTATTACAGGTCTGACGATATTTTTAGAAATTTGTTATTGATTTTGACCGAATTCAGGTTGGGACTGCCCACAACAATCACATTCGATGATCGTCTTACTGTAATTGTAGAAGAAGACACACCTTCTGAATCTCCAATTCCTGAAGCGTCTCCTTCTCTTCGAGACTCTCCAGAAACTGCTACACCAACTTCTCCGATTTACCGACCACTATCCTCACTCTCTTCTTTTTCGAGAAAACTGTCTACAGTAGTACGAAGGAGTATTTTGAGGCCTATTTCTAACATGTTGGTTTTTCGCTTTTAAAAGTTAAAACTAATCAATTTATATTACAGAATCCCAGTTAGAAAACAATTAATCTCTTTCAAACAACAAGCTTTGAACCCGTATGAAGCTGAAAGTCCAGATGAATTGGCTCTCATTGAAGGCATTGCCTTATACAACTATGTTCTTCTGGAGAGAGCAGCAACGAGTGTAACCATATCGACGCCTGAAAAAGCAGAAAAAAGATATGAACTTCTTTTGACTCTTCCATTTGATGCAACCAGAAAGCGAATGTCAGTTATAGTTAATTCTCCAAAAGGTCCACTTTTGTACTGCAAGGGAGCAGATTCAGCGGTGATGTCCAGGTTCACAGATTTTTAAAACTTCATCAAACATTTTTCAAGTTTCAGACTCACTTCTGAAAGTTTGACAGACCCAAAAATTCAAACTATAAAATCTCATTTGGATGATTATGCAAAAAAAGGATTGAGGACACTCTGTTTTGCAATGAAATATATTCCACAGGAAGAGTTTGATGACTTCTTGCATTCATATAAATTTGTAAGTCTCTCAATTATTTTTTACATATTTTCCACTTTTTAGCTAATGGAGGATTCGTCTACGGAACGGGAAAAGATGTTGTCTGAAAAAGCAGATGAACTTGAGAAGAATCTGAAATTATCCGGGGTGACTGGAATTGAAGATAGACTTCAAGACGGCGTTCCCGATACTCTTTGTGCTCTTAGAGAGGCTGGAATTCAAGTTTGGGTTCTTACTGGAGACAAATTAGAAACTGCACAGAACATTGCCACCTCTAGTGGGTTGTTTCATCCGCAAAGACCATTAAAGTACGTTACTATGCTTGTCTGAGAAAAAAAGGTTAGAGAGTATTTTTTGCAGTCTGAATACGGTAGCGATATCGAAGCGGAGAGCCTAAATAGCACACAAACGGTGGAGACGCAGACACTTTTTCTCTGCGTCTTAACCTTTTTTCTCAGACAAGCATAATATATTTCTTTGCCTGACTCCTAGTTTAATTTTCAGAGTGATAGAGAATGAAGCAGATGCAGAAGAGGCTAGCGAATCAGCTGGATTAAATATTATTATGTCTCCAGCAGCAATTCGACTGGCACAAGAAGGGAACTCTCATCTGATTGAGGCTCTTAGAAAGTAACATTCCATTTTGTTTTACTGTCTATTCAATAAAACGTGGGCGCGAAAAGGGGCGTGTCACTTTGCAACCTGCGGCGCGCCCACGTTTTTTTGAATAGACAGTAATTGATTCCTAGACCCTATAATTTTCAGAGCAAAAACAGTACTGTGCTACCGTATGACACCATCTGAGAAAGCAACAATGGTGAATACAGTAAAAAAGAAAATCAAGGGAAATGTTCTGGCGATTGGTGACGGAGCAAACGATGTTCCAATGATTCAGGCGGCACATGTTGGCATTGGAATTGCTGGAAAAGAAGGACTTCAGGCAGCAATGGCATGTGATTTTGCAATTGCAAGATTCAAATTTCTGTCTAGACTGTTATTGGTTCATGGACACTGGAGCTACTACAGACTTGCAAACACATTTTTATATTTTTTGTATAAAAATGCGGTACGTATTTTTTCCCTTTTGGAACTAACAAACCAAACCTAGATTTTCAGAACGCCGTATTTATCATTTTCTACTATCAATTCTTCTGTGGAGCATCTGGAACTAACATCGTTGATCCGATCTGGGGTGTCATTTATCCTATCATTTTCACCAGTGCTCAACCGGTTGTAGTTGGAGTTCTAGACCAAGATTTCGATGACAAAACGTTGATGAGCAAGCCAGAGAAGTATGTCATTGGAAGAGAAAATCAATTGTACAGGTGGAAACATTTTTTCATTGATGTGGTTGATGGAATCTATCAGGCTGCAGTAATTTATTATGTAACCCATCTGGTATGCTATATAATTCAAGTCAATTTGAGTTTACTTAAGTTCAATCCAAGTGTTTCAGACTCTATTCGCATCAGATGCCAGTCTTTGGGAAATGGGATTCTACATTGCCACGAGTTCAATTCTTGTCAATTCGGGACATTTGGCTCTTCAGGTCAGATACTGGCACTGGAGACTCGTAGCCTTGTTCTGCTTCTTCATTTTCTTCCAATTCGGATATTTCTTCACTGAGTGCCTGACGGTTGGTGCCAATATGATTCCGGACCCTCCGGTTTGGATGCCAATTCATGCAATGAAAGATTCTAGATTCTGGTATTCACAGGTTATTACTGTCATTGTCGCATTGTGTCCAAGGTAGGAATTAACGAAAAGTTTCAAAGTAATCTTTGTTTTCAGATTCACATCCATGTGCCTTCTGAATTCCTTGAAACCGGGTCAGAAAAAGAATTAGATTGTTTCCCCTTTTTGATCATTTTCTGTATATTTTGCCATCAATTGATCTGTTTCACCCCAAACGAGTACCCTCTTTCATCAATAAATCAAACAGTCACTCTTTCTAACATAAAAGATTTCACAGCTCGATAAGTTCTTTCTCCCGTGGCAGCAGTAGCACCATCAACAGTAGAATAACCAGATTTCAAAAGTTGCAGTACTTCTTCAAACATTCACTGTCTGTGTACACAACCATACTCCCCACTCTATTCTCTGCCGTCTCTTCAGCATATATTCCTCACTTCAACTTCCGCGCCTTCGTCAGCTGATCAACGTCTTGTGGCACACAAAAGTTGTTCTCATGTGCTTTCCGCATCTTCATCATCTTTCATCCCACGCGTAGGGTTTCCGCATCCTAGGGCCTGATATTTTTACGAATCAATCACAATACTACTTTTGATGAAATTTCAACGTCTGTTTCTCTTCTCCCTCTTCATCTCTCAGCGGGAATCGGGGGGGGGGGGGGGGGGGGCAGTGGCGATTTTGTAAACATTCATGTTTGTGTCGGCCGTCAACCATTGCCGCTGGCTGTTTTTGGTTCGTATTCCTGCCTCTCGCGACCTCATTTTTTTTCATTTTCTGTAGTTTTTTTTAATACTTGTATAGTCTTCCACCGAAGTAAATGAAAAATCGTCTTTTGAGCTTCTATTTCTGTGATCTTCTAAGAATTTGCAATCCAAATAGCTCTCAATGAAAATTCAACGACAATATGGTCCAGAAATTAAAAATTTTCACCTCGACCCCTTCAGGATTACTGTACCTCCCAAATATCGGACAAGTATATGGTTTTCTGCAAATTTTCGAAAAAAAGACAACAATTAGAATACACGGTTACAAAATTCACAATTCACAAAAAGACGAAAGTTTTCGAAAATACTAGAAAAGTGATATGTGGAAATAGAAAAAGAGACTGTTGACTGAAGAGTAAATATTGATGAGTTTGATATCGGAGAAAAACAGTTTGATATGCACGTCGTTAGTTTTTTTCAGGTACTTGTCTTTTTGTTTGATTGCTCAGCATTTCAAGATTCAGAGTCATCTAGTTTCTCCCAATTTTTCACATGTTTCAAATATCATCGCTCATTTTCCCTTTCAATTTGACCTTTCTATTGAAATCTGACCTCCCCCAGACACCCCAAAAAGTGGCGACGTCTTGTCCTTGGGCTTGATGGCTGACAGTTTTTGTCTTTTCTGCCGCCACCATTCGCTGGTTTTTTTTCATTTCTGTCTTTTGTTTTGCTTTTTTCTTTCTATCTCAACTGTTAAAATAATAACATTAAAGAACATACCCGACCATCGGTCACCTGACCGAAAATCCGCCCTTTTTGTCACTGTTTCCCGTTCTCTGCTTCTCTTTCCGCCGTACACTAATTCTCGAAAAAACTCAAATTTTGCAGAAAAAGAAACAATGTTCGAATTGGCGTTCATTGCGGTACTCGTCGCCGCAGCCATCTACATTTTTGCAACTCTTCGCAAAAATGGATTCTTCGTGATTATTGAACCATCGGTCACCACTTCACCAAAGCATCTTGATAAACCATTGACAGTATACTACAAGTATCATTTGGGACCATATCAAAATGTGTGTGAAATCATTAACGAGGCAAAACATATTCTCTCATCCAGTGTAAACTCTGCTACTTACTTTGGAATCTATTATGATAACCCAGAGAACACCGATTCTCACTTCCTTCAATCAGCCATCGGAGTTGTGTTTGGAAACGACGGAAAAGATTTGCATGAGGAGAAGTATGCCAAGGAATTAACAGATAATGGATTCGAGAAGTTTGTCTTGCCAAAGGTCGAGAGAGCAGTCCAAGCCGTGCAGCCATCAACTGGAGGATTTGCTTCGTTCTTGGCTCTCGTTTGGTTTACATACTCTACTATCAAGAAATACATTTCGGTAGGATTCTTTCAGAAAGTCTTTATCAAAAAAAGTGAAACAATTTACAGGACAATAAACTCGAAACCACCTACGCCGTCGAATTCTACTCCCATGACGAAATCGACGTCATTTTCCCATTGGATGATGCCAGCGAGTTCCTCGTGAAGGATGTAAGTCATAAAATCTGAATGACCTAGATCCATAAATCCATGAAAACTTTAGTATCAATCGATCGACAAACTCGAGAGTGACGCTGCCAAGAAAAGATTCGATTCCTCCGAGGAAGATAGTGAGAGTGATCCAGAGGGAGCTGATGAGCCAGAAGATGAGGAAAAGGAGAACTGAAAACTTTTGAAATGACCATTCACAACTGCCTTTTTTTTGATTATGTGTATGATACCATAACTCTTTGATTGTAATTGTTTGACTCATTGTTTTTCATAAATTTTTTTCATGATAAGAATTGAAAAAAAAAACAGAACTATCAAAACATCTTTACAGATCCATGAAGATTGTTCCTTAGTCTTTTCTCTTTTTTTGTTACCCAAAGAAATTAGTAAACAATTCAAAGGCATGTTCAAAAAAGTACAGTATGCATGTAGATTTGATTCCTTAAAACTACGGTTTACTAAAAGACGGCTGAAGAGGCGCCAACTGGCAAACGACTGCTAGTGGAAAGCCAAAGCATAGCCAGCAGGCCATCGCCATACCGTTGACGGACAATCGGAACCCTTTGGAAAACCGGCTTGAAAGTTTGGAAATCAGCCAGAAAACAACAATTTATGCTTCCTCAGATTATAGAATGACGATAGAAGTTAATTTTCCTCACATCGGCTCACCTCAAAAAATAGGTTGTTGAACGACTGCTTAATTACAGTGGACTGGTCGATTACCGCTGATTGGGGGATCGAATTTCTGCAGAATGGAAAGTTTTGTAAACAGTTTATTTTTGGATTAGTGCATTATCGAAAGTAATAGAGAATTCCGGCTTTAAAAATGACCTACTAGAAGCGATCAAAATGTAAATTTTGTTCACTATTTTCCCAAATCAACAAGTGTGCCTCGAATTTAATTTTTAGTTTAAATTCGGTGGATTTCATCCACTCTCTGATAATTGTTCTGTTTCATTGATGGCACGACTGAAGATATTTATTTCACGAACAACTTAAAGACTGTAGGAAGTTAAAATCTAAAAGGCTGTAAATCGATCTGAAAATGAAAATGGAAAAAATCTAGTAAATTTTTGAATTTTTGAATTTCATTGTTCTCCAAACCGGACAAGAATCTCTACAGTATTCTCAAGGGAAATCTTCGAAATTGTTGAATAGTCTGTAGATGGTTTCAAATGCAAACACACATGACATTGATCCACAATTAATCTTTTTTATTTTAAAGCTCTAAATGACGAAGGCGATCTGAGTACACCATTTCGAGTGCATTTCCTCCGTTGATAGCCACTTGAGCCAACTCTTATCACCGTGCGGCCTCCGATACTTTCGTTTTAAATGTTTCCATTTTCCCATTTATTTTTTTCGAATCGTCATATGCTTTTGATGAATAGTTCAAAGTTGAGTGAGTGACGATGAGTAAGCCGATTTGCATAGTAATAAGCGGGACTCCCCGGGCTGGTTTTTGATGTCTTCCAGGTGGGATTTTCATCTTTTCGTGGTTCTTTTCTTTTTTCCCTCTCTTTTCTTTTTTCCCTCCGAGATGATAATTATTAGACTCGTCGACGTCGCCGTTTGGAGACAACCGTGCCAGCCATATCCTTTCACTGAATTCTCTCGAGCAAATAGCCGGGATGAAATGAAGAGCTCATAAACCGAATTGGTGCATTTCAGAGTTTTCTTGTTTTTGAGAAAATGCAACTTGCATCTCTATTTGCGCCTCCATCAACCTAGATCTTTAGTTTTTAGTGTTCTGGGTTCAGTTCCATGGATCTTGAATCAACATTTTTCTGAAATTCCAAAACTTTCGTATATATTTACTCCACGAGTACTCGAAAAAATATTTTTGAAAATGATGTTTCATGAATTCTCATATGTTTTGTAACTGATGGAGTAGTCTATCCGTGGCTCACTCTTCCGAACTCTTTTTTTCCTCCGGAAATTGACTTTCATCCCGAAAACTCAGTAGTCTATTCTCCTTGCCAATAATAATTGGACAGCCGTTTATCGACAAAAAACTCAACGGCCCCAACGGAAATGTATGCGGGAATCGGAGACTGGCGAGAGAGAGACTCCAAGAGTCACCGCCACAATGTTTCCCAATGCGTTTCATATTTTTTTGACACTCTCCTTTCAACTTTTATCAAAATTTTGTTAAAAATACTACAGATGAATATAAAAATTGAATTATTTTTCTTTATCCTAAAAATAGCTACAAAGGGAAGTGGGCGGAACCAATCTAGCAGATTTATGTATATTACATTTGTACAGAGAAATGCATGATGATGTCCAGTGAAGCCATGTGGTACTTTAGGATGAGCATTTCTTTTTCATATTCTGTTTGGTCTCTATTTTGGTCCGTCAAATCAAGTCAATTGTAGATCTCATTTGATGTACTACGACATGTTTATGGAAGAGTTTTTTTGAAAAGAAGAAAAAAAGAAGGAGAAAAAGAAGCCATAGTAGAAAACTTATATAGAAGATGACACATTTAGTTTCAACCAAACATTTCAGATGATGTTCTGTGAACAGCATTGTTTAGGTATTTTTAGATAACTGTCTTTATAAAAATTGAAAATTCTGATGAGTTGAAATTCAATTTCCGAACAAATATGGAATTTCTGATTTTTGTACTTTGAAAATACAAAAACGAAAAAAATTGTGGATCTTAATAAATTCTCAAATTTGTAACTTTGGAAATCCCGAATTTCAAAAAATTCCGAGTTTTAGGAGTTTGAGAATATCTCAATTTCTGAATTTCCGAACATCAGGATTCAAAATCTCAGAATTTAAAATAATAGAATTAGGGAATTTGAGAATCATCGAATTCAGAAATTGGAACTTATGAACCTCTAAACTTGGAATAGCTGGGGTTCTTTTTGAACATTTGAATTTTCGATTCTTCAAACTTCCAAATTTCTTGATATTTCAATTTGTGAACTTCCGACTTTCCGAATTTATAAAATTCCAAGTTTTTGAACTTCTAATATCGTACTGGTTTTCTCACTTTAAAAACACTATTGAGACTAAAAAAATAAAGTCTTCTGGCAATGGCTTATACCGTTCACTTGTATCTTGGCGTCCTTTCGAGTCAGAAAGATTTTCTATGAGAAGTACAGACCAGCGGAACCCATGTACCCAGTCCATTTTCGAGTTTTTCAAATTGAAAAAAAGACACATTTGAAAAACCACAAAGAGTTTCCAGTTTCCGGGTTGGTGGTTTGGCATTTAATTATAATTCTAATAAAATAATAACAAATAATTATTTTGAGCCCTTCCAGAGTGTTGAATTCAAGTTTGCCGTTCCCTCCAATCGAAACTCATTTCCTGTTCAAGCTTCAAAAAGTCATGCGTTCTGATCTCATGACCTGAATTGTTTTTTCAGCATTTCAGGCTGAAAATTTTCAATTTCCTGTCATCATCAGAGTTATCTGAAAAGTGCATTCATCCAGCCACGTTCCCTTCATCTTTCCTTTTCTTCTCTTTCCATTTTTCTTCCCGAATCCATCGTAATCATTCCGTCAGTTTTTGTCATTTTATTGCCTTCGGGCAGCATCAAAAAGTCAAAGAAAGCACGTTCGTGCATGCTTTCCTGGAAAATTCCAATTTTCATTTTTAGGTTTTTTTTGTTTATTGTTTCTGTACTTTGCTTGCTTCCCGATTCTTATGTTAATCAAACTAATGTACTCTTCTGATTCACTACAAAATGGCTTCTTCATCTTCTTTTTGGAGCATTAGTATTACAATGAGTAACTGCTTCTTCTTCTTCTGCTGTCAGAGCAAAATCTCCATTTTCATCGTTGCTCATTTCGTGGGATCCCTTCCGTTGCTTTCTTCGTGTTTCTATTGTTCAAAAAATCTTTGGAACACTTTTTTGACATCTGGGCGGTAGACAACACAATGAAATTCTTCCTTTACCAAGAATCTTTTTTCTTCTTTGCTCTGAAAACAATTTTTCTTAAACTAGATAAAAAAGGATGAGACAGGAGAAAAAAAAAAGGATATATGGCTCTTCCGTTGTTTTTATTTCCAACTAATATTGGCAATTATCGGAAACCGAAAGAAATGTGATGGACATCAGCTGAAAAATGGAAATCTTGAATCTATTTTTTCGTTGCTCGCTTTGTAAACAACAACATTACTCCTCTTGTCCTCCCTCTTCTCATCCTTCTGAATCCTCTTTCTTCATCTCACAAATGACCTCATCTACCTATTGTTTCATTTTTGCACCCCGGAAGTGCTCATAAATGACGAAGGAGGCCTGTGGGAAACAATGAGAGGCAACTTTTGATTCAGCACGTTTTTCTCTCTTTTTTCTTCTTCTGGAATCTAATTTATTTCTAGATGTTTCGGTCTGGGTTCAAGATTCTCGAAAAGCATCCTAAATTGGAATCTGAAATGGTTTCCATTTTCACCTGCTCATCTCAAATGTTCATCTAGTTTTCTGAAAGAACAGACGTTTCGATTTCATGATCTTTAAAGAGAAAGTAATTTGATATCTTAAGTCTAAAAATGTCTTCTTGGATTACTGTAACAAACACACTGCTTTTATTTTCGAACTTATTTATAAATCAGAAATCTGAATTCGTGACATTACTCTTGTTAATTTGAAGGCGCGTTACTGCCGAAAATTGGACTGTGGGCGGGCTTAGGTCCGGTATTTAGCAAATTCCTTAAAGGAGAATGAAAAGGAGCATGTATTTTTTGCAGTCAGCGCAGAAAATATTTGCGAAGAACACATGCTCCTTTAAGAATTTCGCTACTGGACCTAAGCTCCGCCCACCCTCTATTTTTAGACCAGAGTAATATTTTTTTAGGCTTATTTATAAGTCTAAAATTTTTAATTCTTGGTAAGATACTAATTTTTATATTCCTCAAATTACTTACCAGAATTTTCTATTTTCTTGACCATGAGGCCTTCTCTACTCATTTGCATGTTTACACATTGCCTAATTAGAAACCCCTTTTTTCTTGCTCATCGACTTGATTACTCTCTTGCGAAGTCATTTTTTCTAGTGCCCTCCACACCAGATGGGCGGTCCCAAGTTGTGAAAAGGGAAGAGAGTTTGCCCCACAGAGCTTCTGCTGTCACCAATTTTATTTGCGGTTCGAATTAGATTCTCGTCAATTTTCAATTTCCTCTCTTCTCTATCTCCCTATCCCACTCGATTCCCAAATTTTGTGCGCGTTGAAAAAACAACTGGAAACTTTGTCAGGAAGATGTATAAAACCGAAACTCGACACAATAGAAATACACTCGACGATCAAACACCTTTCTTCTCTCCCGGATTTGCAACTTCCAATTAGTGAGCTTTCGTTTGGTCAAACATGTCTGACGACGGGATAAAAAAGAAGCCTGGAGGACCGATCTCTTAGTCTTTTTTTTTCCCTGCCGTCCACTCGTTCATTAGAGAAGCAAGGGATTCAGAATACACATAGATAAACACATTCTCAGGTTTCTATTCAAAGAAACAGATTCTCAAGAAGTGTCTTCTAGCACGTCGTATATCCCAGATTTGGCGTCATTTTGCAACGGCACTTTGATTTATCTCTGGGAAAACGACATGCTTTGATCGTTGACTTGTATTATTGCTCATTGCTCAATTAGCAAGAAAAAATGACGATATGTTTTATTTTGGTGGCAGTGGTGAAAAGTCACACAACGACAACTACAGTAACCTAAAAATATTTTAAAAAATAGAGCCTAATGTTTGTAATTAACAACATTTTTGTAAATCCTGGTCTTGAAGAGACATGCCACATCGCCCCTGTCTTTTGGCACCGACCGTTGGCGGCGCCTTGAGAGTAGATCACTTCCATATCTCTTCAGGTTTAAGATTTACAAAAAAGTTTTCAACTACAAAAGAAAGCTCTGGATTTGTTTAGTATACTTCAGAATTGTATTCAAAATCCAATTAGTTCTAGACACTTTTTTCACCTCTGAAAAATGGACATTAAACGAAAAAAATTGGAATTTCTCCTAGCAACTTGTTCGAGTGGAGTTCAAGGTTTGAAATGTTTTTTTTAGTTTTTTGAACTTTTTTTAAAAAATTTTTGACTTATTAGAAAGTTCGAGAATCTCTAGTTTTCTTTGTCATTGTAAAATCTTCGGCCACGGCCAACGGCATTTCTCTTCCACAGCTCCAATTTTTTGTACCAGACCCATAAGACCTCTTTGCCAAAATCCAAAGACGTTTTTCCAATCTCACACCAGTCACACTGTTTGATTCAATTTCCATAACATTTACTGCTCAAACACCATTTTTTCTTGGAATAGAATCAAAAGTACTTGAGATTCCAGAATGCATCTCTCGAGTAGGCAACTGATTAGGAAGTTCAATTCCCAGTGAAACATTCTAGACAACATGAGTTCGAAACCATCTGCGTCACTCTAAACCCGCGAATGAGAGAAAAAAACCAGAATTTGGCTGTGTGTGTGGGAGGTGTCTCATTTTGTATGCACATTCGGACGGAAGTTCAATCGTTTTTCGTTTCAGTTTTTTGGAGTACACAGCTTTTCTCTCTGTCTCTTCTTCCCCATTTCAGACTTTTTGAGCTGTTCTTTTCCCCTATTCAAAGGGTTGTCCTAGTGAATCGTGTCCATATTGAATGGAGTTTCGTTTTTTGAAAACCAACAAAGTTTCTCTTGGTGAGAATAAAAGAGTCCCTAGTCCCCCCAGATGTTTCCAATTCATTCAAAGTGACGAATTATTTCTAAACTTACCTCCCCAACCCCAAGTACCCCCTGATTATCTGTTTCATCTCAAACACGCAATCTCTTCTTAAAATGAATCTTATACTCAGAAAAGGCAGTTTTGGTGCTAAGAGCGAGTATCGTTTTACACATGCCTTCCGTTATTTTCGTTATTTTCTGGGGATTTTTTGTGGGTTTTGAATGAAGACGACGAAGAAAATCGTTTCTCTTTGTCTTCTTTTCATTATTTTTCCATCCAGAATTTTTTGTTTTCTATTGCAATTTTGAATTCATTTTTCCATGGAAAACTCGTTCAGTTTTTTTTTCCAGGCAGATATTTTTGAATGTTGACTAGAATTAGACATTTCCTGAAAATCATACGACTGACCTCGAAAATGAGTAGGTCATGAGTGTATACCCTTGGTCACACTCTATTTAATTTTCATAAAAAATTTTAATGACTCAAAGATCAACTCGATGAATATAAATAGAATATATAGGGAAGAAGCTAAAACTAGACAACATAGAATTCCTTCCAGAATAGGAAGATAGCATGGAAACATCCGGTTATATAGAGTTTGCTACTAGAACAACAACTTTCTATTTTCTAAAATTCAAAGGACTAATGTAGCGGATGCGTCCCCCTTTAGTCGTTCTGGAAGACCCACTTGCCGTTCCAAAATAAGTTCCAAAATAAGAGATCCGTATTAATCATGAAGATCCATTCTCCACTCATCATAATTTATATTATTCGATGCACAGACATACAAATACACCTCAGAAGACACCAAATAGCTCTGTCACCTCTTCATTTTTTTTTATCGCCACCCCGTTGTTTTCTGGTCGCTGGAACTGGTCGATGAAATGGCTAATTGCTCCTACTGCCCCACCAATTTTTTCTTGCTCCATCGTTGTCCATCTCAATTGAGCCCAAAATAGAGAGGAGAAGATTGATTGGATTCAGCCACAGAAAACAGTCATTAGTCTTCCTATAGGATGTGTTCCATTGGTGTCAGAAAAGCGTTCACCAAAAAAATATACGGGGTGGCGCCAGACTGATAAAAACGAGTATATCTTTAGACATAAGTGTTTTGGAAGCAAAGTATTTTGGAAGAAAATTGGTAGAATAAACATTTTACGTTTGATTCAAAGACCAGTCGGTTTACGCTTCCTGTCGGGGGCTCAACCTCCTGGCTTCCGCTTTCTGTATCTTACAATTGCATTTCTAATCTAAAAATTTTCGAGTTTCCGAATTCACCAAAATTTGTGAAAGTTTTGCATACTATCAATTTTCTTCGAGGAATATTTGATTTCCCAAATTTTCAAAATTTCCAAACTATTGAAAAATGAGTTTTTATGTTCTGAAATCCGGAGTATGTGAACTCCCGGTTTCCTAAAGTTTCAAATTTTGGATAACTAAATGTCAGGTTTACTAAACTTTCTGGTCTCCGAAAATTCTGAATTTCGAAATTTTCGAATTTTGAAAAACAGTCGGTTTGCGCCCCTTCGGGCTGAGCCTCCTAGCTCCCGCTTACAGTAACCGTTGTCTTATAGACAGGTTTTGTCATTTTTCCAAGGACTATTTTTTCATGGTCTGTTAGGGAATTTCGAAATTCGATATTTTGGTTATTTAGAATTCCTTGAATTCGAAAAGTCGGAAGTAAGAAAATCCGGAAATTGAAAAAGTAAGACACTCGCAAGTTCAGAGATTAGTAAATTTTAAAAAATCAGATGTAGGAAAATATTAATTTTGAAATCTAAAAAACTGTTTCAATCTGTATGTCTCAAATACACAAATTTTGGTATATAAAATTTTAAGGAATCGGAAAATTCAGATTTTCGCATACTTACTAAATGCCGGGCTGGCCTGAAACGGCCTTGTTTGCAAAATTTATAGAATTTCGAAAAAGTTTAGAATCGAGAATTTGAGAACCTGAAAAATTAGAAATTCAGAAATTCAACTTTTCGAAACACAGTCTCGTCGAAAAGTTTTTGGAACTTCGGAAAATCGGAAATGTAGATTTCAGAATTCGGAAACTCTAAATTTCGAAAATTTAGACATTCCGAAAATTGAAAACCTGAAATGTTGGAAAATCTGAAACTGAAATTTTTTGGCATATTCGGTGAATAAGATCTCAGAAATTTATATATTCCGAAATTTGAAAGGTATGAAATTAAATTCGGAAATTTTAAAAAATATTCTGAAAAATCGAGTGATCAGAAAGGGCGCTGTCATTTTCCTTCGCATTCTGTTTCTTTCTTTTTTTTTCTTTTATTTTTTTTATTTTCCACTTTTTCATAACTTTTTCTTCCTTTCAAATCTTTAAAACCCATACTAAAAGAATATTTCCACAAAATCCTTGCTCTCAAATATAGCGTGGATAAAAAAAATTTGGGCGGTTAGACGGAAATGACGTGAATATTTCTTCAATATTTTTCTAAAAATTTGCACTGTAGAAATTGAAGAACGTCTCTAGAAGACGTCAGACACAAAATTTCGAAAGATTAAATATTCGGGCATCATCTCGCTGCTATTTCGGGTTATCTGTGAAAATTTGGGAAAATTTGGTTCATTCTGAACATCGTTAGGGAAGGTGATACGGGAACAAACGGACACACACACTCACACACAGAATTTGGTGATTGTTAATAGTAAAGATACTGAAATTTTCAAAACGATTCGTCAAGTCTAGGTATTGTTATGATTGTCCAAGGATGAAATGTTTTCTTGTACTCCGTTGTGATTTTCTTGAGATGAAACAAATTTGACAAGCGATAACTCAGCTTAAAAATGATCAAATAACTTGAAACTTGACCAGTTTACAGATGAATTCTTTGAGTGTATGCACACCAAATTCGAACCCAGTACAATGCTTTAATAAAATGTTATGCAGTCTTGTTCACACCTAACGTATTTCCTCTAACAGAAGCCCACCCAAACAGTCAACATTGAGCTCAATTATCAAAATTTCTGTGAAAGATAATAATAATCAGTAACCAAACGAAACTTTTGTCATAATATCACCAACATTTTATCAATTAACACCTTTTCAATATCTCTTACAGAAATCTAGATAATTGGGCTCAAAGTGAAAGTATAGGGGGCCTTCTATTAGAGTGCTTACGGTAATCTAGATGGACCATTTTAGAAGGTATCTTTTATTTTTTGCAGATTTGATCCTTTTTCAGCTATCCTCCCCCAACTAAGTTATGAAATCTGATATTTTCTCTTTGCATTTTTTCCGTCCAGACAAAATCCTTGGATCATTTCAGAGAATCCTAAGAATTTCCTAGACATGTCTTTCTCATCTTTCCGTCAATCCTAAAACCCAATTCAACAATCATGTTGTCTGGAAAACGAAATTCTATAAATTGAAATATGCATGTGGTGCTCTTTTCTTTTGAAAATGTCCATTTTTCCAGGCGTCCGTCCTCGGCGTCACCTCGTGCCCATTCTCACACAAAAACCTTTTTCTTCCTCCTTCTTTTTTCTTCCTCTCATGTAGCTCCCACTACAATGACTTCGGCGAGAAGAAGAGTTGAAGACGATGTCCCAAAGAAGAAAAAACGTCCATATTTGTATAATCCATTCACTTTCTTCCTCTCTTCTTTCCCTTCGTCGTGTCATAAATCATTCCAGCTTCGTTTCATTGTCTTGTCGTCCTTCTTCTTTCTTTTTCTTTTCTCGTTTACCCATTATTAACCTCATCTTATCCTTCCAGACAGATCACGATTCTTCCGTCATGTTCACCAGGAACGAAACGGTGAACACGTCGGTCACACATGGATTCGAAGATCTTATCACCTATCACATCGTCAACACTTCACTTGGAGCTATTTCCACATTGGTCAACACACTTCTTATCATCATTTTCCTCAGTTATAGGCCATTCAGAACACGATATGTGGTAAGAGTTCAATGACTATGTGTTACGCCTGCCTTTAAAAGTTGACATCAATCTTGCAGAACTGCTCTTTTTACAAATTAGCTCATATTTCAGTGTTTTTGGAAAAATAAAACAAAGAGAAGAAAGACAGAACAAGATTCTTGACCTTCTAAGGCTCACTAGCGAGTCAGTGAAAATTAACTAGGCTACAGTATCCTCTTTTCCAGCTTCTCATCCTTCTCAACATTGGAGACCTCATCAACAGTATGGCTATCGTTCTGACAGGATTAAATCGAATCGAATTATACTCGACTGCAATTCGTACCATGACCCTTCCAGTTCGTACTTCGGTCGAGTGTGCCATCGAACCATGGCTTATATTAAAACTCATCGGTTAGTATAAAATCTGTGTGTTGTATCATGTGCTCTCAAAAGGAGCTCGTCGTTTTGTTTGCGGCGTGAAGACGTCGATCCGTCCGTGGGTGTACTCTTTATTGCAATAGGACACCTTCAAAGAGGAAGAGAGGATAGAAGAGAAAACGGGGGTTTACTTCCGATATAAGTGACGTCGAATTTGAATAAACTACAATGAAACTGTCGAAATGAATACTTGTAACGGGCCCGCCGGGGTTTCCCCAATTTTTGAATGCCCAGCCTGGCGCCCGACAGCATTTTTACTTAACAAAATAGTTGTAATTACTAAAAACCGTAAAAAATGTGATAGAAGAGCACCCCACAATGTCAACTTTTAGATGATTTTTCTCGGTTCCCACTTGGGTCCAAGGCAACGGGTCAGAAAACGCGCCCCAAATAACCTTTTTGGCCAGAAGGAATTTAATAATTTCAAAGTTGGCGTGGATTTGACCTGATTAATTATAATCAACGAAGATTTTTTCGCCCAACGTTTAAAAGTTAGATCCTCAGCCAAATACTTCAGAAGCTCTTTTCTAAAATCTCACGTTTACTGGGGCGCGATTTTTGACCCGTTGCCATGGACCCAAGTGGGTTCCTATATATGATATCCGAAATGTTACAACTGATAAAATGTTTTTGATATTATGATAAACAACTTATCAGTTGACAACTTTCTCATATGTCTGACAGGAAACGAGATAATTCAGCTCAAAGTTAAAAGTTAGGGGGACCTTCTATTGCAGGTTTTACGGTAACTAACTAAACAGAAAAATTAGAAAATAGCAATACTGAACACTCAGAAGTTGACTCAAAATACAGTACTTTTGATATTGGGTCTATCGGAATTTTGACAACAATATAAAAAATTTATTTTCAGGAGATATTCTGATTCCTGTATCAACATTTTGGATGGGTGTTGAACGACTTGTTGCGATTCTCTTCCCTATTTTCTACAGATTTTCCGTCGACGGAAAAGCAGTAAAGTAAAATACATAAGAAATTTCCAGCAAAATTCTCAATTTTTTCAGATATCTTGTTGTTCCTGGAATCAGTCTTCTTTTTGTGTTCTGCTCGATTTGTGTGGCTTTCTACTTGGCGTTCACTGAAAACCATCTCACAAGCTTCTATTGTGGTCGGAAAGCGGCGTTCGGAGAAGGATTTGGAACATTCATCTACTGCTGTAACATCACTTGCAACGTGGCAAGTACCATATTCGCCACAGCTGCTTACTTCAAAGCCCTGAATCTTTCCAAGACTCAGTAAGCGATGTTTTCAATTTTCAAGAAGACCAACAAAGTTTTTTAGGCCGAGAATGCAGAGACAAGTTAATGTGATTCGCTATTATCTACTCATTTCCGTCCTCTCAACTTTGCTTGTATCGCTTCCAAATACGATTGCCTTATTCCAGTTGTATGTTGAAAAAGTGAGTACTCAGAAATCGAGAAGAAAGTCTTGAAATGTCAATTTAAAAAAAAAGCTGTGTTCTAGGTGAGTGACAGTCTGTCAAAACCGGCGTACTGGATGCAAACGATTAACAGTGGTATTCATTTCTTTGTGTACTTGGCATTGAACAAAGAATTCCGAGCGAGAACATTTCGAATGTTCAAAATGGTTCATTCCGAAGAGATGTCGTTGTCGAGTGAGTTTTTTTTGAAAATTGAATAAAAAGGAAAATATGCATGTTGGATGGGTTGGATGGACAAGGAAAAACAGACTTTTGACAAACTTTTGACAAAAACAAAACACAGGGACATCGGATTTAGAATATTTGAAAACTTTATAAAGTTAAAATTGGTGGATCTTCGAAAAACCATTCTACTAGAGTGAACTTCTCGGAAAAGTTGAAATCTCGTTTTTCAGTATTTCTGAATTTTTGAAAACTCATTTTCAGCTTAAATTTATGTTATTTGAGAATGAAAATCGAAAACTTCCCAAAGAAAAATCTAATAGAAGCCCACCCAAACTGTCAACTTGAGATCAATTATCTCGATTCCTGTGAAAGATATCAGAAATGTGTCAACGGATAAATTGTTTATCATAATATCACCAAAATTTTATCAGTTGACAAATTTTTGATATCTCTTATAATGAAATAATTGAGCTGAAAGTGCAAGTATAGGGTGGCCTTCTATTATAGTGTTTAGGGTAAGCTGGACGTTGAACCCGGATGTTTTTGATTAGACAGCGCGAAAATCTCGGAATACTTGAAATTTCATTTTCAGTGTTTTCCGAATTTTCAAAATCTAGTTTTTGAAAAACTCGTTTCCAGCTTAAAACACTAAAAACACTAAAAATTTCACTAAAAATCTAAAATTCTTAGAATTTATAAGTTAATCAAAAAAAACCTCAACAAATGTCTAATATGAATTCTCTTAAATTTCAGAAAAACAATCCCCAGATGGATGTGATACTCCTCTCCGTGGATCTGCCAAAACCTTGACAGCCAGAACAAACTAATTTATTATACTTTCTCGATTTAGAAACCCAAGTAGTCTTTTTTTCATAATTTATTTCCCATTTTTCCTCTCGAAAACAGTTCAAAACGATCTCCACCCCACCTGTATTTTAGCTGAAAGTGTACATTACACTGGTCTCTCCTTTTTCTGTGATTCATCTCATTTTTTTTCTTCAGACTCGTCCCGTTGTTCTCAATAAAAAAATTTCTGAATAATTTGCGTTTTTTTCTCGTTTACAAAAAGCCGAAAATGATGAATAGGCCTTTGTGATTCGAACTCTCGAACATCATCATCTTGTGTCGATCGGGCGCCCTTTCTCTCTCTTCTACAGCTAGTATAATTATGTAGATGAAGACGCAACTGGTAGTTACATTTCTACACTTTTTGTAGCCCTATGAATGTCCGTTTCTTCCTCTATTTTTTTGCCCATGTATGTCAAGTTGAGAATGCCTATATCCTAGTATTTATGGGTCGAAGGCACAAAAAACGATTTGGAGGCGGAGTCAATATATATTGGCAAGATGCCAATAGACTTTGCTTCTTCCCGCAAACCAGTAAAACCCATCACGGATCATTGGAGGACACTCCCGACGGTCACTTCTTATTCGCTTTTCACTTTTTTAGTTCTTTCCTCGGTTTTTTATTGTTTCTCCAGAAGTTTAGAATCTCCCCCAATTGTTTCACCTTCAGACAAAGTTTTTTCATACTTCTGAACATAAATCCACTTGGATTGTTTGCTGGTTGTGTCTTGCCCCACGTAACACTAAAGTGTTCATTTACTATTTGGTATTCAAAAGAATACACTCTATTCGCGGCCTTGTTTGAAAGCGTGTGTGATAATGTTGATTGGATTTAATTTATGAATGAAATCGTCACATTTAATCAGAATGCTACTTTATAGTACCTATCAAAAACTTGCTAGATTCAATTCATTACTAGAATTTGAATTCTAGAAGGTTTTAATTTTTTTTCTCTCATTTTTTTCCTAGTGAATTTCCCTGTTCTACCTAATGTACCGGCACTCCTGTAGCTTTACCTTGGCTCCACCGCAGAACCTGTAATTGAAGAGCCCCCACACTATCAAATTTGAACTAATTTTTCTTGGTTGTTATCCAAAACTTCAAAAATGTGTCGAATGATAAAATGTTTGTGTCATGATAAACAATTTATCAGTTGACAACTTTTTTAAACCTTCCACTGGAACATAGGAAGATTGGCTCTGAGTTCAAAGTTAGAAGAGGGCTCTTCTATTATTTTGCCAGATATTTCTTCATAAACTTTTAATTGAAAATTCGGGAAGTTCTTGTTCAAAATTAATGAAAATCGAAAAACGGACAAAATTGTTTCGATTTCAAGCAATACATTTCGAAGGGAGCCCTTCTATCACAGGGTGCTTTTCTATTTTTCCTAGTACCTCTGCCAAAAATGTATTCATTTCAACCTTTTGAATCCTTTCTCAAAAATGTTCCGCCACCCAAAACTCGATAATATCTCAATTCTCGAAATTTCCCTCTTTTTTGTGCAACTTTCCAATTTCTCTTTCAATATCTCTTTTCAATCTACCTTCATCTTCGTCGTCTCCTACTTCTCATCATTTTCTATTGTTCCAGAATTAGCGGAAAACAGCTTTACCAAAAAAGGCGAATCCAGTTTTTATATGATAGAGAGACCCCTAGAACACAGACGACACTCTCCTAGTCCTATATGCCCATTTGGCTACCACACGTGTAAGATTTGTCACATTTTCGCCTTGTATTCGTTTTGCCATTTGATCTGAATGAGTGACTCACTCTAGTTTACAACCGATGCTTCTCGATTTATACCATCTCCTCCCCCAATTCATCAGAAGCTAACAACATTCATTGAATACTGAATCATTGTCAAATAACGCTCAACAATTTCTTTCTATACTTCTTTTTATTGAATTTCTCATACCTTTCAGATGAGCGTTCCAGCGGCTTTTCTCATTCTTTTATGGTCTTCAATTGCAGGATCTTTGCCTCTGGCACCAGCGCCACCCGACGTAAGATTAGCAATTTTTATTCATATATTCTTTATAAGCTATGAAGTTTTACAGTTCAACGCTGACTTTTCAAAAAGAGAATCGGATTTGATGCCGGTTGTCGGAGAAGATGAGCTTCAAAGTTTACGACACACTGGATTCCAAGTAAGTCAAAACGGAACATCCTGACCATTTAAGGAGGGGAACAGGAGCTTTTTCGGAGTTTTCATTTTGGAGTTAGGATATGCGTCCTGATATGATGGTGTACAGTGTTTAGCATTCACACAGCTCCTGGCTATCGTGCCGCTTTTATATATTACTGTAGCTCAGCCGGTAGCGGCGCGGCACTTCCAACGGTTGACCCACAAGCATACTT